AATTACTTGGCCTGAAACTCAGTTTCTACATGTTCAAATGTCACTGCTGGAGTTTTGCAGCCTGTATTTTTGGCAAGCATAAATCTGCTGGAATTGGAGGTATTGAGGAATGTTCCACAAGATTAGGGATAAAAGTTGACCCTGTGAACCTCTTCATACTAGAAAGTATTACAAAAGAGTGAGTCAGAGCCTCCTCGGAGTTCAAAGTGAGGGGTGCTGGACAAACTCCCCTGATTTATTTAGGCAAGCCTGAGATAGCATATAGTTTTCTGTCAGAGTTCTCTTCAAAGCTGTTTTACACTGTGTACCTCAGGGGGAGGGTTATGTTTATGTTTTCTCTCTGTGTTATCTTATTAAATGATTAAACCCATGTTTTTTTATCTGCTCTTGTACTCTGGTGTTTGTGAATCTTCAGCTAGTAAATGTGTTTAGCTAAGACTTGCCAAACTGGATTTGAAACTAAAAATGGCTTTGAACTGGAAAAACCCAAACAACCAGATCTTAACAGCATCAAATCATGTTGTTTTCTCCAAAAGAAGTAGGCTTAACCACACTAAGCGTATTCTAGCAGCAAGCCTGTCACTGATTTCTTTGTGTTTAAACTGTGAAAACATAGAAGCTAAAATATTTAGATTTAAATATAAATATCTGAATCTCTCTAGGTTCATGATACTAGAGCCTAGAGCACTGGCTGATGTGGAAGGAAAAGCTTTAAAGCTGTGTTTGCCAACCCATCATGAACACTAAAATGAATGTTCATGAAGTTTGAAACCTGGTTTTACTTACTGAACCTATGATGCTCTGAACACTTGATGATTATTATGCGCATTTTCTTACAGCTTTAAATGTATTCTGGCTAGAATTCACTTTGCAGTGTAGCATCTAGTTGTATTTTCTGCTGTTACCTCTGATGTCACATCAGATGAAGCTGGCTTTGCCCAGCTGCAGTATGTGTATTAACAGATCACTTGCTGCTTAGATTCATATAAAAATGTATTTGGGCAAAATGCTGAACCATCACTCATACTCAGAAAGTCCTTTGGAAGCTGTAATGTTTGGCATTGCTTTCTGAATGTGACAGAAGTGAGGATGAAGTGGTTAGTCCTTGGGTGTAAATGAAAACTAATCTTCCTAGAAATCAGTCCAGCCAAAAGCATGCTCATTTACTTTGGAGATTTTTTTTGAGGAGACTGAAACATCTTGTTCTGTCTTTTCAGCTTGTAAAACGTCACTGCCAGCTATGAGCCAAGATTGTTAGAAGGAAAAAATGAATAAGGCATTTCTCACAAGGGTGCTCAGGTTTTGGTAGAACAGGCAGTAGAAATCCCAGTGCATGGGCTTTTATATCCCATTGGTCTATTCAAACTTCTCATGGGAGCTGTGTGTCTGCCTAGCATCTCTTCTACCACATGCCCTGGCAAAGAAAGATGCTGGGGACAGCAGTGCTGCAAGTCTGGTACTGAGTTGAAGGAGCCAGGGGACATGTCCAGGTGGGACAGGAGTGACAGGGTGGCTGCAGAGCACATTGAATCAGTATCTCTGACTGCTGCAGCTCTGGTAGGAGGTGGAGCTGGTCTTGGGGGACTGTCTGAAGGAAACTCCGTGTCAGAAACACCATTTCCTGGTGTGAATGCCACCTCTGAACAGTGGCTGCAGCATAATATAAACCAAGGTGTGTGAATCTCCCTTCAGTGTATATAGTAACTCCTACGCAATGCCTTGTTTTTGGAGTACTTTGGAAACATGCAGGATAGCTGGAAAATAAACTTTGCAAGTCTAAATTCAGATTCTAAAGGTGTTTCTGTGTAGCAGATGGGAGTTCCCTATTTTGAAGCTCTCTCCTCATTGTTAGCATCTCAGATTTGAAGTTTGTATGTAAATAAAAAGTACTCTACTGAAATCAGTTGCATCATGTTGGTGTAAAATCAGGGCCTTCTGCCCTAAGTGAGGTTTCTCATAGTTTGTTGATTAGTTTTGAGTCTTTAGACTGCAATTTGGCACTGAAATGAGCCACACATTTAGTTTCTGTGATGTTATTCATTGTTCACTGTGTTCCAGAACAGACATGCACTGGCAGCAGCTAAGCACGACTGCTACCCTTTCTTTTCAAAACCTGCTATTTAAGTCAACCACTCTTCAGGATGCAAGTAAATGTTTTAAATAGCATCTTTAGTATCTTCGCCTGCAGTCACAGATTTAGCAAGTATGCTCTGCATTTTTGGGTGTCTTGCACATTCTCATTCCCCCTTACTTGTTCCTACCATTGTCAATGGGAAACTTGCTGAACTTTGTCCAAATCGTTAAACCTACCCTCATTTAGGATAATGAGCAGTCTAAGTTTTGCTGCCACACAACATGCTAACAAGCCGTGTGTGTACAGAACGGAGCAGATGTGATGCTCTCAGAAGCCTGTATGTTCAGTTTTAAGTGAGCTTTTCTATTGGAACATCATTGTAGTGCTGAAAGAAGAAATAAAAGCTGAATGTAAAATAGGTGGTATGATTTCATTGACTATCTCAGTTTTAATGGTATACGGTTCTTGAGATGGAAGTGCAGTGGCTTGGGAAGTACACAGAGTGTATCTTCTGCTGTGTGTTACCTGGCACAGCGTGGGAACTGGTGTTTGACAGCCAAAGATTATCAAACAAACCTGTGGGTTTTGTTAGCTTTATTTTTAAGGGAAGCTTTACCCTGTGAAATTAAGGAAAAGCTGGTAAAAAGGTTGTGATGCAGGGTCTAAAAATCAGTGTAAGCATGTGTATTTGGTGTGTGGGCAGTGGCCCAGACTGAAGTTGCATATGGCTGTATACAGGTATTGTGGCTTATTTGTGGAAAGAGATAATTGAACAGGTAAACAATGCCTCAATATCTCCACCAAATTCACCTGGAAGGAAAATTCCCTCATGTCCTGGCATCTACAGGTCAATCCGTGGCGGAGCTGAAGGTCAGCTTTAGCAGTGTGTGAATGGAGCACAAGTGGGCATCTGCGTTCCATGGCACTTCTTGGAGACACCAGCAGTGGAGCACGCACCATCGGCAGAGCCCAGTCTGCAAAGATCCTCACCTTTCTTATGTACTTCCATGTCCATGACGTTAAGCTTTAAAACCACCCCAGTAACCTGTTGTGTTGGTACATTAGCTGTAAGATGATGTAGCTGGTCTAGGGAGTACTGGTTCTTAGCATTTAAAATCAAAAGCTTTGGGCTTTGTGACCTGATTCTTAATAAAACTTGGTGCTATCTGTACTGCTTCAGTGTAAATGTACTGCCCTGAAAACACCTTTCAGAGCTCATGTCCAAGCTGTCTCCTCCCCAAACCGCATCCCTTACCTCTCCCATGGTTTTGCCTCCGTCTCATCCGTGTGCACAGGAACGCTACTTGTGGTCCACATCTGTGCCTGTCCCACACATCAGCTCCAATGTTCCACATGCAGCTGTTGAGTGGTTCCCTCAGCAGCGTAGCAAACGTCTTTATAAACCCACACCAAGAGCCAGGAAACCTGCACCAGCTCACACAGCTTTTGGCCTTGGTACCGAAGGCAGGAGTCCAGCGGTGCGCGGGCCAGCACTCTTCAGCTGGAAGGCATTGTGCTGTTGTGTAGTTTGGAAGCACAGATGCAGTTTGTGTTCAGCGTTCCGGTGTCACCAGTTCCCAGGAATGAAGTCTTGGACTTGTGCGTGTAAGCGGAAAATATCCATATGTGTCAGTGAGGCGGGGAGCCCGTCCAAGTTCCCTCTGTGAACAGAGCATCAGTAAATAACCGCGTTACCCCGTGCTCGGGGTGGGATTTGGCTTTAGGTGCAAATAAGCATTGGCTTGTCTGCTAGCAGCGATTGCTGCGACTTTTTAGGAATCGGTGCCATTTCCAGTGGGATTTGAGCACTCCCGTTGCCTCCCACCACTGTTCCTGAGATAATTGTCTGTCAGTGGCTTACAGTTGCGTTAGAATTACACAGATTTCTTGCTCTGGCTACAGGCTGGCTATTCCTTATGAAATATTTTGGTAAAATAGTTGTTTCTGAAGGTGAAAACACCTTTGTGAAATGATAATTGTGCTTTTCCTGTTATTTCCTATTGAGAAACAGTTGCTCTTCCACGTCTTTGAAGAGCAGCAGAGTCCCCCCAGCACAAGAAGGTTGGTGCATGTTTTGGTTAGAAAGTGCACACAGTCACCAAGGCTGTCTCAGGAAGTGGGTTTGTTTCTTGCACCTGCTCAGCAAACACTTTATGGTGTCTGAATGCTCGTGGAGGAAGCTGCCTGATGAACAGGAGTGCGATGGGGGAGCAGGAGGCTTGAGCCTGGGGACAGGGAGGAGGAGACAGAGATCCCAGCCTGGTTTGGCTTGGAAGGGACCTTAAAGCTCATCCAGTTCCAACCCCTGCCACAGGCAGGGACCCCTTCCACTAGAGCAGCTTGCTCCAAGCCCCTGTGTCCAACCTGGCCTTGAACACTGCCAGGGTTGGGGCAGCCACAGCTTCTCTGGGCACCCTGTGCCAGCGCCTCAGCAGCCTCACAGGGAAGAGCTTCTGCCTAAGAGCTCAGCTCAGTCTCCCCTCTGGCAGTTTAAAGCCATTCCCCTTGGCCTGTCCCTACAGGCCCTTGTCCCAAGCCCCTCTCCAGCTTTCCTGCAGCCCCTTTAGGCACTGGAGCTGCTCTGAGGTCTCCCCTTCAGGAGCCTTCTCTTCTCCAGGCTGACCCAGCCCAGCTCTCTCAGCCTGGCTCCAGAGCAGAGACGGACATGGGTGAACCGAGATAACGCTGCTGTTTAAGCGCAGGGACAGGGGATCAGTGGGGAAGGCTGACAGCGGTGCCGCTCCCCACAGGCACTGAGACCCCACCGCTGCCACGTCCCGCTGCCGGTCCGGGCGCCTCCCGCTGCTGTGTAAACCCCGGGGCGCGGCGCGGAGGAGCCGAGCTCCATCTCCCAGCCCGGCCGCTGCCTTCCCACCAGCCCCCGGAGCTGCTCCCCCTCACGGCGGCGGGGCCCGGGGGGGGGCGGGACGGGGCGGTGCGGGACCCGCCCGGCGGGGAGCGGGGAAGGCGCGGCCGCCCCCCTCCGGCTCCGGGCAGCGCGGGGCCGCGCGGCCGCCCCGAGATGTTCAACAGGGCCGTGAGCCGGCTCAGCAGGAAGCGGCCGCCCTCAGGTAACGGGGCCGGGGGGGCAGCGGTGAGGGCTGGAAAAGCGCGGGCGAGCCCGGTCCCGCCGCGGGTCTCCCGCCCTTTCTCACTGAGGGGAGCCGGGAGAGCCCAGCCCCTCAGCGCGGCGGGGGCCGCTCCTCTGCTGGGGCCGCTCCAGCTTTGAGGTACCCGCGGGCGGCGGGGCTGGACCCAGCCTGCGGAGAGGGTCCCCTCATGGATCCCCTCACTTCTTGCGGTGCCGGGGGTCTCGGTGTGAGGGGCACCGGCCACGCCGGGGAAGGAAGCGCGGCTCTTCCCGCCCCGGCAGCTGCGCGGAAGAGGGAACTGGAGCCTGCTCGGGCTCATTATGCCTCATCAGCCGCGGTTTAATTGCGAGCTGCTGCCTGCCGCTGTTGGTGTTGGCGAGGCAACATCAGAGCGTGGTTGTTGGAGCTCTGGATTGACGTTGGGAGAGTTTGGAGGGAGCGTCTTCAGCTGGAGTGGGAGTTAACTGAGGAGCGATAAACGCGGGGCCGCACGGTTCTTGCGGCTGACAGGCGTTCTAACGCGTTCGGGCTGTTCCAGGGCACCTCTGTGCGGTGTCTATTCCAAACGGTTAATGTATTATCACTAAAACAACCGAGGTAGATGTCACAAACTGGGAATCCCAGTAAATAAAGACATTTTATAAAGCACCATCAGAAGTTACAGTCCACCTAAGAAGAGCCGAATGTGTGTCTGGAGCTGGGTTTGGTTTTGGGGGTGATGCCTGGTGAACGCTTCCAGAGATGCTACAAAAGCGGAACGTCCCTTCGGTTTCCTTCCCCATAGTTAAAAGTGGAATCCAGTGGCCATCTGTTGTCGGAGACAGGCAGAAGAGGATGTTGAGGCTCGTGCTTTGGGCAGCCCTTGTATAGGACTGAAACTCAGCTGCTCCTAGGAAAGAATTGGTGTGTGAGGACTCATCCAGTGGCGTTCGGATACATGGAAAGTAAGGGAATTTTCCCTTTTCAGCTGCTTACTGATGAAGCTTCCCACTATTTCATAACCTTGGGTTTATTAATTCCAGAGTGGTGATTGTTGCTGGATGGGCATTGTGGTGGCTTCCGGGGAAAGGCAAGGTATCCAGAGTACTTCTAAGGTAATAAGAAAGGTTTGTGGCTCACAGGTGACAAAGGGGGAAATGCAGGCGGTGTGATCCGTTCTTCAGGAAGAAATTGAGAAGGCTTTCTTTAACATCACATATTAATGCTTAAATATAGAATAAGGAATATGCTCATTGCATGGTGCTGTTGTCATTTGTGCTGGTTGTCTTTAGTTAAGGAGCTTGTAGATGAAGTGTATGTGCAGGTAGCACAGGCATTGAGGTGAGGGATGCACTGCGGTGAAGGGTGTGAGTCTGTGCTCTGTGATACAGAGCCACACAGCCCAGTCTCTCAGCAGTTTGGGAATGGCAGCAGCTTAGGAAGCTGTTGCAGTGCGTAGCCCCTCTGGAAGGCAGACTGTTGAACTGTTAGCTGTGCCTTAATCTCTCAATGTCTGATGGGTTTCCACGTTTTTGTACTTGCTGAAAGCAAGAGCCAGAAGTGAGGTTTGACCTGCAGAGTTGTGTGTTTTGGTGTTGATGTTTTCTGTGGTTTAAGTCCAAGTTCCTGTGTAGAGAATGCAGCTATTTGTTGTTTTTGACACCAGACTTCAACTGATAATTATGGTGTTATTAGTGCTGCACGTACAGTCACATTGGCACTGGTGAGGCTGCACCCCAAATCCTGTGTTCAGCTCTGCGCCCCTCATTATAAGAGAGACATCGAGGTGCTGGAGTGGGGCCAGAGAAGGGCAATGGAGCTGGTGGAGGGCCTGGAGCACAAGTGTGATGGGGAACGGCTGAGGGACCTGGGGGGCTCAGTGTGGAGAAGAGAAGGCTCAGGGGAGACCTTATTGCTCCCTACAACTGCCTGACAGGAGGATGGAGAGAGGTGGGGGTCAGTCTCTGTTCCCAGATAACAGGCAATGGGAGAAGAGGAAATGGCCTCAAGCTGCACCAGGGTAGGTTTAGACTGGGTATTAGGAGCAATGCCTTCCCCGAAGAGTAGTCAGGCTCAGGAACAGGCTGCCCAGGGCAGCGATGGAGGCACTGTCCCTGGAAGTGTTCACACACCATGTAGATGAGGCCCTCAGTGGCATGGGTTAGTGGTGGCCTTGGCAGTGCTGGAGAACAGTTGGACTTGTGATCTTAAAGGTCTTTTCCAACTGAGTCTATGATCTATTGCTTGAAAAGAGCCTTCATCCGCAGTCAGATGCAGAACAGTTGTGTGATGGCAGAAGACAGCTTCTATACGATTCTTCTCTATGCTCCAGCTAATGCAACTACCTACTTGTTGCCTTAGTGTAGGCTTCTCCTCTACAGTAACAGCGCTGCTAATGTAAGGACTTAATCATTTACTGTGCATGTAGAAGCATCTGGCCACCACACATCATGTAAGAGCTGTATTGCGCTCGTACACTCAGTGTGAAGTTTGCTTCAAGCAGAGGCTCTGCAGCCGCGCTCTCGTGCTGCACAGTGCTTGCTTTGTTGTCTTTCCCTGCCCCTTGGTTTCTAACCTGTATAAAAGACAGTAGTTACCATATTATCATCTGCTGTACAGTCTATGTGTTACTCTTACAGAAATATTGGTGGAAGAACTGCCATTTTGTAATTCCCTTTTTGATGCTCGAAATGATCTCCCAGTTTTCCATATCAGCACATGCTGCCTTCCTCATTTAAATAATCATACTAATGTGCGCATTTGGGTTATTAAACATCAGTATTGCATGTATTAAGTAACTGTCACTAGATGATTTTAACAGGAGGAAGTTATCTTTATAAATAGCACACAGAGATAAATAGCTTTCAGGAGGGTCGTTCATGTAATTACATTTACTGCAGCATTGCCTTCGAAAATAAATTGTTTGAGACTTTCATTAAATTCTGCCTCAGTGGAAGTATCATTTTTAAGGTAATTTAGTACCGTGTTATAGGATCTGCATTTGGGGGTTGGCTTCTGGAGTCATGTGTGGGGAAAACCTCCTCCCTATCTTCTGAGCTCTTAAAATAGAAATCACACTTCAGATCCGCTAAATGATTCCAGCATGTGGAGTGGGAAGTTATGCTGCTAATTGGGGGCCACTTTTGTATCAGAGTATTTTTCTCTGATGGCGTATTTAATGGGTTGTAATAAAAATATGCAGCAGTTTTAATATCCTCATAAAGTTTCAGGGTGTTTCCTACTGTCATGTGTCATGTGCAGCCTATTTACATGTGTGTGAAGTTTTATGGAGGTTGCAAAGGAACAAGGAGCATGGGGATTAACAGTACTTGGCCTGGCAGGGGGGGAGCCTGATCAGTGCCATGCCCAGCACGCAGATCTGAACCATCCTGTTGGCATATCCCTGGCACGGCTTTGGTCCACGGTGGTACCAACCAGGTGATGTCCCCAGCAGGCTCTTTGGGGACTGCTCAGGACAAGAGCTGTGCTCCACTAGCTCTGGGTCTGCCCTGTATTGCATTGGCTCGTTGAAACACATGCTTTTCAAAGTAATCGTTAATGTCCACTTCAAGTTTGGCTGGAAAAGAAACACTAGAAACAAAATCTCTGATATCGTATCTAAATCCTATATTAAATAGGGGAATGGCCTGGCTCTTCAGGCCATGAGCAGCTCTACATAGAGAGCTGCCATTCTGCTTGCAGGTGAATGATCATAACAAGAGATTGAAGCTCCTCAGAGGTAACTGTGTTCTGTTCCAGTGTACTTGGCTATTCCCACTGAAATCTCACAGGTTTTATGGAGATTAGGTGCCCAGGCTCAGGTTCCTAAATAAATTTGCAAGTGATAATCAAGAACCACATCCTGTTGCATGAGGGAGGGGAAAACTAAGGCACAGTTAACTCGCTGTGCTCTTTTGTTAATGAATGAAGTATGCAGTAGTGGGCTCAGACAGTCCTCAGGTTCTGACTCTTGGCCTTTACCAGACTGTGTGTTTCTTATACAGAGCTTATACTTGCTTATACAGAGATTATATATATATATATATATATGTACATATACAGAGCTTATATGTGCTGCTTTGGAGGCCAGTTTGTCACAGTCCTTACCCAAAGGGGTAAGGTCTTGGATTCTGAGAAGTTTTGTGCAGGCACAGGGTCATGCATTCCCTGTGTAAGAAATTTCAGGTTGATGCTGTATCTGCATTATATAGTGGGAGCAGGGCAGGCGGAGGAGGGACAGGATCTGCATTTGCTTGATTATTTTAGATGCTGTCCTTTCTTATAGAGCTGTATTTACTTAGGGCATCAGTGTACATCACTCAGCATTAGGCAATGGGTATGAAATCCACAGCTCCAGAAAGTTTACCTCTCCTTCAGCTCTGTAATTTCTCCTGTATAGAAACCTCGACTTCTATCAAGGGAGAAGAGGAGAAGTTAATTCATTTCCAACAGTGGCCATCTCACTGTTAGAAAAATAAATAGACTCTACAGGTCCCTACTAACCAAAACTCAGCAGGCTTTGTCGTCGTGCCAGTATGTTGTAGGGCTTTAACCTTAGCATTTATCATTCTAGCTACCAGCTGAAAAGGGTGTCTGATAGTATAGCTCTGCATAGATAATGTTTGAGATACTTGCTGAAGTTTAGTTTCATGAGGGAGGAAGGGTTTTTAACAGAACTTAAGAAGAAGTTATGAAAAATCCCTATTTCCAGTAAGTTGGTAGGGAGGAATTAATATATTGTAGAATCCCAGACTGGTTTGTGTTGGAAGGGACCTTAAAACTCATCCACAGGCAGGGACCCCTTCCACTAGGGCAGCTTGCGCCAAGCCCCTGTGTCCAACCTGGCCTTGAACACTGCCAGGGATGGGGCAGCCACAGCTTCTCTGGGCACCCTGTGCCAGCGCCTCAGCAGCCTCACAGGGAAGAGCTTCTGCCTAAGAGCTCAGCTCAGTCTCCCCTCGGGCAGGTTGAAGCCATTCCCCTTGGCCTGTCCCTACAGGCCCTTATCCAAAGCCCCTCTCCAGGTTTCCTTTAGGCACTGGAGCTGCTCTAAGGTCTCCCCTTCAGGAGCCTTCTGTTCTCCAGGCTGAACCAGCCCAGCTCTCTCCGCCTGGCTCCAGAGCAGAGCTGCTCCAGCCCTCGCAGCATCTCCATGGCCTCCTCTGGACTCACTCCAACAGCTCCACATCCTTCTTGTGTTGGGAGGACGCAGGACTGCAGGGGGGGTGTCACAAAAGCAGAGCAGAGTTATTTGTTATAACAATAAATAGAATTTGTGTTCCTTACAGAAGGAGCTTTTTGCACCTTTCCAGTGTGCGCTTACTTGATGCGGAGCTCTTAGCCTGACTGTCCATGGCCTGCACACCCTGGGCATTTCATGAGAGGAAAGGAAGCCACGTACCTTATGTCTGTTCTAGGGGTTTTCAGATAAGAGGTAAAATTCCTGGAGTTTTCCCAAGTAACAGGTTTTGTGATGGGTAGCCAGCAAACTATTTTTTTGGCATCACCAGTCTTGGATGCAGCATAATTCAACCAAAAACTCAAGGTTTATCCCTTGTGTCCTGTATGTGAGAAACCTGGCTGGCAGGTAAGGTGTGGGCATAGTCCTTATAAAAGGAACGTTTCAGTGGACTTGAAAACAAGGAAACATAAAACCCACCCAGATACCACTTGCCCAGTAACAAGTCAACTCAGCTGGACTGAGGCTTTCCTGCCATCTTTCCTCCCTTTAGACTGGGTTAACATACTGCACTTGCTCTTCCACTAAACAAAGCATTACTTTTCTTTCTAAGTGAGATCCCAACCTCCAGTGATGATCCTTTTCTTCAGAATACATTGCATGTGTGTGACTGCCCAGGATTTGCTTTATAGAAGCCAATGGCATTGACAGTGCCAGAACAAAAGAAGCAAATGGTCCTTTTACCACACAGGCTGCGGTCACTGTGTTCTGCAAGCAAGAAAAGATGCTTGAACTCCTATAAACCAGTGACAGCACCTACTTACATGCTCATGAGTTATAACACTGCAAGGAATTTCTGCCTCCTTACAGGCAAAGCAGAATTCAAGTATGTGTGTGTTTAATTTCAGATTTATGGTGTTTCTTTTAAGGAGAACAGCTGTAATCCAGAAGTGCAAAGGGCAGTGGGGGAGACATGTATGTGACATTCATCACTTCTAACTAAAATAGCTTTTTTTCCCCATTTTCTTCCAGAGATAAATGAAAGCGAGGGGCACCCAAGCAGCAGCCACCAAACCTTGAAAGGAACCTCAAAATGGGCTACATCACTGGAGAGCCTCCTCGAAGATCCAGAAGGAGTGAAACGATTTAGGGTGGCTATATTAACTATGGTTATTTAGATGAACTGAAATTAGGATTTAAAGCTGAATTAAGTCTCAGGGTAAATGGTGCCACTGCTGTAAGCCCATAGGTGTGCATCCTTCCAGATACGTACCCTGAGCAGATGGGCAGAGTTGGAGCTGTGGCGCTTGCTGAGCTTCTAGAATAGTTCCTTTTGCCACTGCTACTGCAGCTTGCTCTCCTAAGGCAATGGAAGACTTTTAGTTGCATCTTTCTAACTGGATCTATCAGCTGTTACAAGGATTAACAGTAACTGTTGGGTAAACTACAGTCCTTGAGCCACTGATCTCTTTTGCCAAGCATTATTTGTCACTGAGGGCTGATCCTGCACTCTTCAATCTCATACATTGTCCTTAACCAATGAGTTATCACTAACAGCTCCTGAGCTTGGTAACTGTGTGGCTCTTACTCTGTGTTGCAGCAGCTGTACCAAAGAGCATCCCCTTCAAGTTCACTACAAAGTGTGGGTTGGTACAGCTCTAAACACAGGCTTGAGGCTTAGTTGGGTGAGGGTGGTGAGTTGGTTTTTCAAGACCTTCTTGCCATATTAGCTATAAGAATAGGAACTACCTACTTGAGTATGGCTTTGCCATACCAAGAACTGATAAAGTGCACTGGGATAAAATGTTTTACTGGCAGACTGGTTTGGAAAGTGATGTAAAATAGAAGCACAAACAGCTTGGATTTAGAATTCTTAAGGAAGAAAAAAGTAATATTGGTGCTATTTAATTCTTGGCTTTACTTATTCTCTATTTTCTAACACTTGAAAGAGAAAACTGACGATCTCAGAGCTATAAATATTTCAGTCATGTTTTATGAAGAGATTTAATACAAATTTTTTCTCCTCATTTTAAAACATGCTTCACTTCTGGAGAAATGTGCTTTGTTTAAGCACTGTCTAGAGAAGACAAATACATCTTCTGCTTTAGTTTACTTAAATGAATTGCCAGTGATGATTAGAAACACTTTTATTTGTAGTGATTTTACTCATTAAAAATCAGAAAGAGACTAGATGAGAGTCTCAAGTGATCTGTGACTCATTAAAATAGTTCATTATATTCACCTGCTAATGAATTAATGTAATTTTGGATTTCCCTTTGAGTAATGGCTGTAAAATCACTTGAGTTATTTCAGGGAGACTGAAGAAGCTCTTCTTGTTAGTTACTGGTGTGCTCTGAGGTTAAATGTAGCTGCTCATTCTCCTGGAATGTACTTTCAGAGTGCTCAATAAGATTGTTCATTTGTGCCTCAGTAGCGTGCGGATGCACTAATTCAGTGGTTCTGTTATACTACGCTATGGAAACTCATACCCTGGTAAAGCTAAGCCCAGGGTCTAGTTTTAATAGCTATAGTAGGAAGAGAGAAAAACAACTGAGAAATTGGATCCTAATTTTTGTCTGTTTGTTTGTTTTTCTCTTCCCTAGGAGTTTTTAAAGAAGGAATTTAGTGAAGAAAATGTTTTGTTCTGGTTAGCATGTGAAGAGTTTAAGAAAACACAGGGGAAAAAACAGGTATGTTTCCTAAGTAAGCTGTACTTGTCAACAGCTTCCATAGCAGAGCTGAAGCTGTAACATTTCTGTTGCATAATGTGCTTCATGCGAGTGTGAATAAATAGATCTGAAGGAATTGCACTGAGATCGCAGTGGTGGGATTGTTTGGAAACAAAATGAAAACAAAATGCTGGAATTGTCATGTTTCCCATGTTATGAAAACTCTGAACTTTCTGTTGTTGCTTGGGAATAGCCGAAGGTTTTGTTCAGGGATGTTGCATCATCTTGCTTGAAAATATGAAGATGTTTCATTCATTACTTTTATTTAAAGCATAACAGCCACTACATGAAAATACACACCAGTAGAATGTTTTAGTGGAACATAAAATCAGCAAAGTGTTTTCCAACAGGAAAAGTTTTGCTTTATCAAGTTACAAAACAAAAGAAACTGAGGGCCCATTTACACTTTTTTGTTTAAATATGTATTGAAATTAAATACAATTTAAATATGTATTCAAATTGATACCTGCAATTGATGTCTGCAGAGCATTTCATTTTCATGAAAGCTGTATTTTTGTAGTAGAAAATATTCTATTGGAAATTCTTCAACAAGCCACCTCTAGTAAGTTTTTTCCACTGCTTAGATCTTGGTTTACATTTAGATCCATCAGGAGCACAGAATCCACTTTCATGTTTAGGCTTTGGAGCCTACGGAGTCAGGCCTAAAATATGTGGTGCTTGGTTTGCTCCTTTCTGAAACAGTTTTTGTGATTTTTATTACTTTTGAGAAATTCCAAATTTATTTGACCTTTGAGATGAGGATTCTGTGAGAATGGAATGAACTAGTTTCAAAACTCCAGCCGAGCATCACTGCCTTTGAGAGTCAGACTCCTAAATGCCATAAGCCCTTACTTTTAAAACCCCACCTTTATGCTTTTCACATGTGTGCAGCTCTTGTTGCCAAAGGGAACATTTTAGAAGGCTACCGGTGCAAATGTACGACCCCTTTTCCACTCTTCTGGCCAAAATAAGTAGAGTACCATGAGGAGGTGAGGCTTGGAAGATGCCACTTAAACCTGCTTCAAATGGACCATGCAGACTTTGTCTACCATCATAACTGTCAGGGAATAGGAATCGGGTGGGAGCTGGGCTCCTGGGGGCAGTATTCTTCCCTGTGAGGGTGCTAAGGCACTGGCATAGGTGCCCAGAGAAGCTGTGACTGCCCCATCCCTGAGAATACTCAAGGCCAGGGTGGATGGGGCTTGGAGCAAGCTGCTCTAGTGGAAGGTGTCCCTGCCTGTGGTAGGGGTTTGCAACTGGAAGAGCTTTAAGGTCCCTTCCAACACAAATCAGTCTGGGATTCTATGGTTATAAAGTGCAGGCATACCTCTCTTAAGGTCAGCCAAATATTGTCAGCTGAAATTGTTTCCCAGTTCATTTTCCTGGTTTTCAACAAGACATTTTTGAGAGGGGATTCTACTTTCTGTAAATATTCTCTATGTTGCACTGAAAAAGCATCTCCCTCACAACAATTTGCTTGTTTCAGTTGTGAGCATTTTTTGGTATTGATAAATACATAAAAAATACAAAAATAATATTTTTTTGCAAGAAGAAGAACATGTTCAGATTGACTGTGCTCTTTGTAATGTTCAGCACTACTTCAGACTTGAGTTTTTAGCTGCTTCCCTTCCCTCTACAAATGCAGATAGGAAGAAGGCTTTGCATTATACAGGGCAGATGTTTTTGCTTTGTAGGTTGTGCAGGGTCCTTGCCTTTTCTTGAGTCCCCTTGGACAAGTATCAAACTGCATTTCAAAATGGAAATGAAACTAGGAAGTCCTCCTTTAAGCTTCCCCAATTTGCAAAGGGAATAACAATCATATTTTCTCTTGCTGAATAATTTCCATCTTTTTAGCTATTTCAGGATTGCACATGCAAGTACAGGAAATGGTAAAATGAAATATAGAGATAGTGGCCTAGTGATTCTTGAATGAATGGACAGAGACTTAACTAGGTTCCCTTTAGCTCAGTTATTCAGTACCCATCATTACGCAGCATGGTCAATCTGGAGCCTAGAACTGCCAAAGCTATTGTAGCTGGTTACAATGAATGTGCTTTAGAATAGCACAGACTTACAGTAAGTTTTTATAGCTGCTTCTTATGAATGGCCTTGTTTAGATACTTTACAAAGCTAGAAAAAGCACTAAACCTAGAAATCTTTTTCAGTGCTTATGATAGCATGAAGCATGAATTTGTCTTCTGAAAGTCTCTTGCAGAAATCACTTCGTATCTATCTGATGTGAGCAAGATATTCTAAATGCATCTTTTTATTTGTTTTATAACCTGCTTCTCATTAAAGCTGGTTTACCACAGAAACTAGCTCATAGACACTTAGACTTTTGGTCAGATGAAGCTGAGTTCAATTTAACCCAGACTGAATGGCATTTTCCCCCTTATTTTTAAAGTATAAAATAAACTTTTCAGTACTTGACATGAGAGTATGAGTGTGGGGGTTTTGTTGGTCTGTTTACACTTGCCCAAAGGTGGCTACCTGGCCAATAGATTACGTTTCATAGTGCCTAGTGTTATTGTCATCCCTTCTGTGCCAGCCTGCAGCAGTGTTTGGTTTTGTGTAGACTGGTGTACCCTTAGGTTGGTGGGCTCAGTAAATGTTCTGTCCTTCCCTCATTTCCTTTCTGGTCTTCACAGGTAGATGCAGGCCCTCTCTGCTCCTGCTTTCTGTTGGTTGCAAACTGTGTTAGTGCTATTCTAAGGAACTATCTTGGGACTCTCAAGACTTACTCAATTTAGTTCAGTCCTTACTCTAACCACAGTCACGCAGGCTCTGCCTAGAAGCTGACTTTATCAAGCCAACACAGGCAGATCTGATACAGATACATCTCTCTGTTCCTTTCCTCTTGAATGTGTGCCACTATGCAGCTGGACCTTGGGACCAAAGGGAGTGCTGGCAAGAAGAAGCCAGGCTCTTGCCTGTTGTGTTGGCTGTAGACTAGTGGTGAGAATGCTTAGTCAGAAGGCAGAAGTGGAGTTCAGACCAGACTACTCCATAAGTTTGTGTTTGTTTTTCTGTTTGAGTGAGCTAATAAAAAACTCATGCTGATTTCAGGAAGTAGGGCAGGTTTTGAGCATCTGCATCAGGGCAGCAAGCAAAGTACATCACTGGTCTAGGCAGGTTTTGGATTCAGCCTATCTTCTTGCAGCAGGAACGCACAAACTCCTCCCCTCAGCTCAAGGCACATCTCTGTAGTTTAAAAGAAAGGATATTCCTTTAAAACTGAAGTTAAAATAGAAATGTTAATGTTTAGTGAAGACTGAGGAAGGAATTGGGTCAAGTCCGCTTGTAGCAGTGAGCTCTGCTGCCACCCATATGGTCCTCATCTTGGGGCACATTTAATTATTGAAATGGGAGTGGTGGGGCTAAGGGAATAAAATTGAGCTTTAAATGTTTTATTGGCGTTAGTCATATGCTGCTGCATTTGTGACTGTTGATGAAATAAACAACATGTCCATTGTGCTACTTCCCAAGGTTTAAATGTTTCTTCTCTTGCAGCGGAGCTTTAAAAATATACCATAGATTGTAATAAATGCTTCAAACAACAGGGAATCTTTACAGCTGTTGCTCAAACCCATCAAAATACCCATGTCAAGCTTTGGAGAGAACAATTTCAGAACAAACTATACCTATTCAAGAGTTTCTTCTGCCATTTCCCATGTGGAATGTGGCAATGGCTATGCAGGACTGGGTAATGCTGCACAGCTGCTAACTGCTGGAGCCTGTAAAGATGAGCATCTGGGACTTCCATTCGCTTCATTTGGGAAGCACACATGCTTAAGAGCTGAGTGTGACCTTAGGAAAGGAAGTGGGAAAGAAGATTGTATCCACTTGAAATAGTGAGGGGGATTTCTGTAGACAGAACTTTGTACTCCAAATGGGAATTTGGCATGGATGCTGGGGTGAGGACACAGATGTGAGAGAAAAGTGCCAGAAATCCTTTAATAACCACCTGTGAACAAGATCCCAGTCTAAGTGTTGTTTAAATTCCAGAGCAGAGTCCCGTGTGCTGTGCCATTAGTTTCAAGCTGACACAGAACGAAGAATGCCACCCACTGACCGGGACTGTTGCTGTCTCCTTTGCCTGAACCTGGCTCTCCCTGAATGTCCTTTGGGGAATGTATAAACATACTGGTTTATAACATATATAGCTGTAACTTTATTTAAAAACATAATTGCAGTTAAACTGATGCTCTACTACTGAAGCACAGACATAGCAGTTGTTCCCTGTGCAGCAGAACCTGTAATGTTTAGTTGTACGTTTCTGTAGTTCCCCATTACTGTAAAGTCAGGTCCCCTGTGTCTCTCCAGCAATCCCTTGTCTCTACCACAGCTCTTTCACTTCTTTTCTTTATCATTTTTCCCCACCAAATCCAGAGATCCTCCCCATTTCACCAACCTCCCACACAATTCTCTTGCTCCCCCCCTGTTCTTTAAAGTTCCTCACAGTACTTCTAGTTTCATGTTTCCCCTCAAGCCTTCCACTACTCCTGTACAGTGCCCAGGTTGCTTCTGTGTTACTTGGGCAAGCAGCACCTTGTGTTGTGACTGATGTGGAGCTATGTGTGCACAGATTAGGCAGCAGCTAAGTATATGTTGGTGGTTCAGGTAGAGTAGGTAACTTTTAAAGATACACTGCAGCTTTTCCTCTCCCTTTCCTTTCTCTCACCACTCTTTTCAATTGAATCAGTAGGAGGGTAATTACTTCTCAGTCCTTTGCCCCCCCCCGCCCCTCCTTAGATACAATTGAAATTGGACAGCAGGTTCAAAAGTTATTTACGTAGGGTTGACAGTATTGTGATAATAGGTAAAGGTACCTTTACTGTGTCTGCATCAAGATATTAACTTTACTAGTTAAACTCAGTCTTACTGATTGGATTAATTGCCCATTTAGAACAGACACAGCTGACACAGTCCTTCCTGCTCTGTGACACTGGAACATCATCTTAAACACTTCATTGTTACCCAGTGCACCTGGCACATGATCTACCCATCAGCTGGATAATGCGTTTTAAAAAGGAATACTGGAAAATACATGTTCCCTTCAGCAGTGAGAGAGTTAACTCTTTAGGCCTTGGGAATTGTCAAACACATGTAGCTTTTCTTCTAATTGTCCCCAAATGTTGATTCTCAGCTGCATAACATGAAAGACATTCTGACTCCTTCACGGGCAAGGGTTTAAATACTTCCTTCTTCAAGCCCACTTCCCATCAAAAACACAGCCCTTTGCTGATGCTGGTGTGGTGATGTAGCTGCTCATTAGATGTGCCATGGGGAATGATGATGAGTACCCATGGCTCAGGATTGTACAGTGCCTGTACAAGGGGAGACTTGGCTTTCTTCTCCCACACTGGCTTTCTTCTCCAACCTTCTGGTCAAGGGGCAGCTTGCACTGAATTGCAGAGGATTGTGACCACTCATTTACTGCTTTGAAGCTTAAAGATGCTAGGTTGGGTCAAAGTGTTATCACTATTACTGATTTATCAAGAGAATGCTGAAATCAAGGCAAACACAAACAGCTTTATGCAAGTCACACCTACCCACATTTATCAGTTTTCAGAGGCTCTTGAGAGTCTTATCTTTACCATTAACCAAGCTGTTGGGTTTCTTTAATCATGTAGTCACTGCTGCATGTGAGCTACCCCGAGGTAAAAATGTAGTTACGAAAGAGCATGTAGTATGGCAGTTATCTAGCAGTAGCATGGATTATACACTAACTTTGTTTAGTTTTGCCTTGCAGTAAGTTTCCAAGTTGTTTTCTTCTGGGTTCCTTGAGCATGCTGATTATCTGTTAGTAAAAATAGTCTTCTAAATACTGAAGACATGGCCAAGCTCTTTCACCAAAGTGTTGAACGCTGATTGCTTCCACTCTTGGCAGTGCAGGAGTTGGCCTGAGAGATGTTTTCCCTCCAGTACAAACGAATAGACACAAATAAGCTAATCTGTGTCTTTTTGTTTTGTTGCTTGTTCTCTTGTAATTCAGACTGTGTTTTGATTTTAGGATCTGAGCCTCAAGAAGTGACTTGGAGCAGTCTTCAACAAAACATTAACAATATTTGTATGAGTATATTCCCCCAGCAAATAATTCTTTAAATAAATATGTCCTTTTGCAGATGCAGGAAAAGGCTAAAGAAATTTACATGACTTTCCTGTCCAGTAAAGCTTCCTCCCAGGTCAACGTTGAAGGGCAGTCCCGTTTGAGCGAGACCATTTTGGAGACACCTCATCCTCTCATGTTTCAGAAGCTCCAGGACCAGGTAAAGTTATTTTGTTCAGTTTCTTTTGGTTTTTGTCTGCTTTTAATGGACTCTTGCTTTTTAACCATAAGCTAGTGTTGGAAAGTTGGGAATCTGCCTACTGCTGCCTGTGGCATGGAATGAATAAGCACACATAGAGCTGGGTTGCTTCATATTGGGGATATTAGTGCAGCTGCTCCAAGGATGGATACACCATACCCAAGGTTTTTGGCTCCATATAACTCTGACCGATTAGTTAAGAGTCTTGGCACAACCATTCTAAGCCAGTTGAGGACTTTCCTGGAAAATTGGATGAAGTTTTCTCCCAGATTCCTGTGCCAGTAGCTTGAGAATCACCCAGCTGACTGTCTTTGTGCCTACATTTTCCTGTGTATTCACTTGTGCTGAGTCATTGCTGATGTTTGTTTCCATAGTTGCCCCTGGTTTCCTTGAGAGCTTGAAGATTCTTCACTTTGCTTTGTTTTGGTATTTATATTGATATGAATATAATGCAATTTCCTAAAAAGCCTCTTCTGTAACAGACAGAACTTAAAAGAGTAGTTGGTACCTGCTTTGCTTTTTCCTATAGAACTTGGGAAGCCTGGTACAAATTAAGTGGCATTTTGCAGGCGTGTCTTTTGGTGGTAAATTTTCTTGTTATTTAGCTTATTTTAATGCCTAAGTTAGGAAGTGAGTCACTCTTATCTGCAGCTTTCCAGCACTTGCAGTCTGTACTGCTTTTAATTTCTGTACCATCCTCAGGACTACCTGTATTTTCCATTTGGCTCTTTTGTGGAGAAACAGCACTCTGATTTAAATAGTGTTTTCAACCCATTTCACATCAGGTATTGTGTATGTTAGCTGGGCACTGGCTCGGTCAGTGGAATTGGTCTGAGGAGCAAAGACTCTGCTGTCTTTCAAGCAGGTTCCAAGTCATTAGCAGTGGAAATGTCTGAAACTCAATTTCAATGCGAAGAAGCAAAGTTTTTCATGGAAGAACTTCTGATTTGGGGAAAGAGAGAGTGCTGGGACATCTATGCACTGCCCTTCAGCATGAGTGATTATGAAAGTGAAGTTGGAGAAGACCATTGGAGTTCAAATAAATGAGCATGCACATGAACAGCCAGAGATCAGTAATACCTGAACTGGAAACATGCTAGACCAGTGGTAGAGGAATCCCACTAGTGTAGGAAGAAAGTCTGTGAACTTCTAAAACCAAATGCAAAGCATCTATGTGTTGTTGCAGGTTTCCACTGCTTGAAGCTTCTGTTTATTGCTGGTAGGTAATAATGGTTCAGAAAGAATTATAGTCTTCCCTAGTTTTCAATCCTTATAAAGGTATGGAGAATGGTATCATTTGTTCTCTAAAGAACAGTGTTAACTACTGCTGGCACTGTGTGTCTGAAGTATAAAGCAGGTCCAGAGACCTGCTGATTAAAACGGGTCTACTTGTTGGGTGTGTTTGTGGGATGTGCTGGTGGGATGGCCTTAAACAAGTAGCTTGGAGGCAGTTGTTCATCCTGAATGGTGTTAGAATGATTCACAGAAATCTGTACATTTCAAAATATTTATGAGTTTAAATGTTCCTGCTCCACAGAAGGTGAGGAGAGGAGAGGAGAGGAGAGAAAAAGAGAATTCTGCCTTTGCATGCGATTATGAAATCTTTCTGTTCCGTGCATTTGGTTGACCAGACTCCTGCAGATTTTACCTTAGTGCTCTTTCTCTCTGGGAGATGCTATAAATGACACTAGGAAAAAGAGAGATCTAAAATTAGGTTGTAGTTAGCCAATGGCAAGAGGTGTAATTTGACTTTACTTAACTGCACTGATTTGTGTCTACATCAAGAGGGTGTTTGGGGATTTTTAGTCTTCCAATATGTAGCTTATAAAGCAAGATTTCCACTGTTTTAAACATGAACGTAACTATTGGAATATGTGAACAAACAGTGGTTAGTAAAATGCTTCATGTAATTTATTTGCCAGGGGGATATTTCAGCAAATGCACAGATAAGAACAGTCAAGTTTTGTGTGTCAGCCTTTACCTGTCCAGGTTCCTTGAGGACATGAAATGAAAAAGCAGTTGGAGATTATGTTACCCTGGCAGTGTTCAAGGCCAGGTTGGACAGGGCTTGGAGCACCCTGCTCTAATGGAAGGTGTCGCAGCCCATGGCAGGGGTTGGAACTGGATGAGGTTTAAGGTCCCTTCCAACCCAAACCAGTCTAGGATTCTATGATTATCACTTCTTTTTCTCCTTACGGTTGTTTTACCCAGTTGTACTTCCAGTTAGAAATGAGGCCTGTAAAGGTAAAGCTCCAGCTATCCACACGTGGATTATCCACTCATGCAGGTCACAATACAGAAACAAGTCTTGGAAACTTAGTTACTCTGAGTGCCATAAAATGGAATCAGTCACGAAGCATGACTCAGAGAAGCTCTGCCACTGAAATAATAGGCAGAGGATGATGTAGGCTTTGGTTTTCCTCAATTATAGTTCTGAGGTTTACTTTTTCCTTCCCCTCTGTTTCAAGACCAAGCAAATTACAGTCCTGACCTTGACACCTGAACAGATTCTGAGCTCCTCTCCCAAGCCCTTTTGTTTTCAGAGAACCCCAAATGAGTTCTACGTTTTTGGTCTTTTTTTTTTTTTTTGTCTGAAATGGGTATAAATAGGACAGAAAACATTTATATTGAGGGATGAGCTTAAACTCAAGCCCAGGAGAGAAAAGCTATACTCGGCACTGACTTCATGCTTCCATGCTGGCTGTGCACTGGCTATGAGAGGAAGGACAGGTCTTGGCATAAGTTTGGTCCATCACTAACTTTAAGCCACATTTTATCTGACAAATTCCATCTGTACCAGATCAGCTCTTTGTGGCAGGTACCTGCAGCATTTCTGATCTGGCCTGAGACCATTCCTGGCATTTGGTTGGGTAGCAGCCTAAAAAGGATGGGGAGATCAGCATAAACTCAAGAAACATGGATTAAACCAGTTGTTTCAGTCCTAGATTCAGTATTTGTGTAAATTATTTAGAGGCTTTTCTTAATTATCCAGTGCTGTACATGTATAATGAGCTATTCTGTAATGCTCAAGAGTAACTGCAGTCAGAAGGGTGCCTAAAAGGTACCTTTTGTTCTTCATCCCTCTGAATATCTTCAACTGCCCTGCCAGAAGGAGACCCTCACTGAGTTTTGCTCCTGGTGGCTCTGCAGCCTTAAAGCTGCAGTAGAAGGGGACCAGGTAATGTCCTGGCTTGTCCACTTGTGCAGTTATCTGATCATCAGCTGTAAAATCCTACCCAGTGACCGTGGCATGTGGCCTCCCACCTTCACTATCAGGTTTTCACAGGTGGCTATTGTGAAAATCATAATCTGGTTCTTAAATCAATATGGATGCTATAGAAAAGAGTGACTGTTGAACCTACAGTATGGTTTGCTGCATGCAGCCCCTTCTGAGTGATTGAAGTGTGTTTTAATGTCATGCTTTGGAGTGGTGCTTTAGTACTAACACAACCAAAATACATTAGAATTCATACGTTGTCTTCATTTAAAACCTAGTTTTACTTAGGCCATTTTTTTGTGTTTTTCCCCCCTCTTACCAGATATTCAATCTCATGAAATACGACAGCTACAGCCGCTTCTTGAAGTCAGACATATTCCTAAACCACAAGAAGTGTGAGGAGCAAGAGGAGAATTCACCAGAGGCTCAGACTGCAGCTAAAAGAGCGTCAAGAATTTACAACACATGATAGGATGAATCCCTTCGGGAGGAGCAATACAATGACTAAATTACACTCAGGAACAGTCTAGGTTTATAGCAGTTGCATTTAGGGTTTGAAAAGCTCAAAACCTTCTTAGGAGATACTTACCTTCTTAATTGCTTGAACGACTAATTGTTTTTGCATGATAGCTAATAACAAAGTGCTCATGGAAAGACTGTTTCCTACCTAAAAGGCTGAGGTATTCCTCCATAGCATGAATTGCCTTTCATATTTCACAAGCTAAATGCTTTCAGTTTTTGTATTTTCTTTTGTGAGGCTTCATAATGATGAGAAATGGGAAATAGGGTGCCTGGATTTCTATTTTTGCCTTGTAATTTTTATTTGTGACTGGGTTTTACATCCTGAATTGCTGGGAGAAGCTGCTGAGGAGTGAATTGCACGTTACTTTGTGGATGAGTCATTCGTAGCAAACTTAATTATGAAGGGACAGCATCTTTCATGGTTAAGCTCAATAGAATCCAATCCCTTCCTATGTAACTTTGTTTTTTCAAGGTGATACCTGTTTTGCTTTGCCCTTATTGTTGAATCAAACACTTCTCTAGTAATGATTTCCTCAATATTTTTTGCAGTAGACAATCACCTTCTTCAGAGGATGGCATAATCTGTATCCCCTTAGGAACAAAAGCACTGATTTCAGCAAAGCCTGACCAGGGCACATCCTGCATGTCAGCATAACATCAGTGTCAGATGCCTGTATGGGGAAGCATCTGGTCCCTCCTATGTCTCCTGAGCAATCCTGCTCTGTGCAGCAAGAATACTTTGGCAAAGGACCAACCAACAAAGTCTGGCTTTGTTTTACTGAAATCTACTACAATCACTTTGCCTGATTTTGTTTGCCCCAGAGAATTATTTCAGGGTTTCCTAATGTAACTTTTGAGAACTGCAATGGAACAGGGGCTTGATGTTGTGTTTAGCCCTTTACAGCGAGTTTGAGAGGAGTGGGAATTTATTCCTGCTCAAAGCAATCCAAGGTGAAATTGTGGTAAAGGAAGACTCTCCCAATGAGCCTTCCGTGTTGTCCTGGGACTGTCAGAGCTGAAAAGCACATTTAGACATACAATTTTTCATGTGTTCATGTAGTTTTGAGTTAATTTACTGCAGTGTTGCTAGATTGCAGTTGAATTTGGAAAGCCCATTAGCTACGTGCTCTATTTCCAAGCTTCGCAGTGTGTAGTGTAGCTGTTTCACATCCTCTCATTATTTACTCAGTTACTTTTGCACTGCTTTCCTTGAACGTTAGATGATGTGCCAGCTAATCTAAATGCCCAGTTAGCTTTTGATCATTTTATAGTTCTTTTTTTGTCAGAAAGGCCAGGTTGGGGGTTGGAAGTGGATGATCTTAAGGTCCTTTCCAACCCTAACTTTTCTATGATTCTGTATGTTTCGTATGCTACTGTTGCTATCAAGGTTTTAAAACTTAAGTCTAGATTCTAATTTTTGAGGCTGCAGACTCACTTGGCAGACTTGATTATTTCTTTTAACTCTGAGTCACTCTTGCAGGTAATGTGTAAAGAAACTTGTTTCCATGGGCTCTTTCCTAGTTAGATGTTAAGAGTGGGATCAGGAGTTCTGATTCTTCCCTCACAGCTAAATGGCCTGTTTGGTTTAGAAGATCAAAGAAGAGGTCAGTGCCTCCATATGCATGTTTTAAGGTGTAATCCTTATGCACTTAATTTTCCCTTTGTGCTCTCAAAAGACTTAATGGTGAAGCCCTAATCTTTTTTCAGGCACTTTCAGTAGTATTCGATCTCATGTTTAAGTTGTATTTTAATGTTTTGCTCTATAGGAACGAGGTAAACCCGTGCATGAATCTTTTTGTTGGGATGGGGCTTAGGAAATGGGACCATCCAGTTCTGGACTTGCCAACTATTTGTAATCTCAGGATTACCTCTTGAAAATTCACTGTAATAACAAACTCTTAACGCCTGCCACAGCAGGGGATGGAACTTCTGATACCACTGAAGTCCTTGGGTAGTTTAAACTAGTAGTCCTTGGCAGTTTAAACACATGTAGGAGTTGGGATCTGTCTCTTCCCAGTAATTGCAGCAAAAGTCTTAGTGATACTGAAAAATGCAGGACAGGGACCTTCATGGGGAAAACCACAGAATGAGCTCTTACCACATTCATCACATGGATGCACAGTAATTAATTTTTAATCATATTGATTTTAGAAATGCACGAGTAAGGGAGAAGAGTCTTTGACTATCATGTTTTAAAATAATAATAATAATAAAAACTAAACCCAGAAGCTGTAGGAACAATTGTGGGGCATTAAAGAGAGAAAATACTCATTTGTAGCTGCTTATGAACCCCATTTTCCTTGGCAATATGCTCCCTGTCAGGTACTGCCTTATTTGCTTGTTAAGAGCGACTGCCCCATAATAGATACAAAGGTGCTTTACACTACTACTACTAACCAAAAGTTACTCAAATGGAAATGTATTTCTCACAGCATCTCAATGCTTATGGTGTTTATTTCAATACCTCGATGTTTCTAATACAGTATACCTAAATCCACACAATTCTAATCTTTGAATTGCTCTTTTGCAAAGTTCACTGCCCCATTGACGTGTCTTTGTAGTGTCTGGTTTTGATTTGGTTTTTAGAAGAAAACTTGAGAGGTGCAGGAATCAAAGGATTTTTCCTATTACCTGTATTTTCCAGTGAAAGAGCAATCAAAGTAAAGCCATGCAAGATGTCTGTAGTTGCAGCATGTGTATATGTGGAGAAGGTTATTTTGCTTCTGTTGATATTCTCACTGATCAGATTTACCTTATGAAATAAGTGACTTTTTCTCTACATGGCATAGAACAAATCACACAGGAAAAGAACTTGAGTTTCCAATAGGTAACTCTTGCATTCCAGGAACGACTGCAAACATTGCGTTGAACCTCAGACTGTGAGCGCGTACTCAGAGTTGCTTGATGTAGAGATTAAAGGTAGGATCTACTCCTGTTCGTAGAACTTACACTGAAGGTCTGAGCACAGAAAGCAAGCAAGAGAAATTTTGTGCCTGATTGCATGCCTTAAACTCTACCCTGTTGTGTGTTTCTCAGCTAAAAATTAAAATATCCTACAAATACACCAAATCTGTGCATTGGCAGTTGTTTTATGTTTGAACACAGTTGGGGAGAAGATTGCTTCGTATCCCAGTTATCCCATTTTCTGCTTTCAGTCCCTGTTAACACAGTTGCTCATATTCTGTCATAGTGTGTTTTTTCTCTTGGAAGATGGGATGACACACAGTCGGTTTCACTTCTGAGCGAGCTGTTGTCAGAACAAATTGCAGAAAGTCACTTGAACAACAGAAGATGCTTCTTGTACCTTCTTCATCTCCTCCCATTTCTTTGTGCCTGTGCATTTCTTCCACCGTGCTTGCTTCAAGTTGATACAGAGATGGAGGGTTTGAAAAACTATAGTGAGGGAGAAAGAAATTGGTTTGAATATTCATGTTTGGATAACAGTTTGGAATGTGCTTATATTCTTACTGAAGATTCAGATTGGTTTCAAGTGGGCAGTGTTTGCATTTGAGCTAAAGAAGGTCACCGATGCAGAGAGAGGTCCCAGATCATTCTGTGATGCTATGGCTGTGGTTCAAAGCTGGCCATGGATAAATTCCCCCTTTTATAAACTGTTTATAACTTTTTTCATCCTAAACCAGCACAGCAAGCATGAGAGTCACCTCGTTTTGCCAAACCTCTGTCCCTGACCCACCAGAACGCTTGTTTATGTGACTGTGTTCATTTACCCATCCCAGAGGCAGTCCCTCTTGCAAGTCCAACACAGCTTACGTCCGAGGGCTCTTTTGGCAGAGGCACAGCTAAAACCAAGCTGTGGGCCACCCTTTATCAAAGGCTCTGCGTGACCATGCAGTCATGCCATGCGAGCTACTTCTTATGGCTCCAGTTGAGGAGCTGGGGTATAATGAGGTGAAAGATGCTTTTCATCAGCGCTGAATCGGTGGGACAGATCTATTTCAGTCGGGTTAAAAGCAGCCGGTGGGAAGGGGCTTGGGATGGGGGAGTGCGGAGAAACTGGGAAAGGCATTTTGCAGGATGTGGCTCTCTCCGGAGAAGCGAAGTGATTGCCAAATTTAATAGCACCCTCTCCTGGTTCTTGGCAGAACAACAGGTAGGGATGTGGATCTTGGAGTGAGGCTGCACGTACGGAGAGGTCCTAACTGCTTGTTTCCTCAAATGCAATGGACTTGGTGAAGTTTCTGTGAGCAATAAAGGCAGCTAAGGTAAAATACTGTGCTAAAATGCTAAAAGGGCTCGCTTTTCATTGAGGCAGGTGTTGTTTTAACCAAAACTTGAGGGGACCACTGTGTATAAGAAAACTGATCAAAGTTGCTTGGAAAGCTTGCACCATAGAGCAGATGATGCTCTCAACTTCCTGAACATTCTTCATGCTGCGAAACACCAGAGCAGGGCCAGCAGTTATCCCTTCCCCCTCTACTGCTCCTGCCTTGGGCTCTGAATCACTCAGAGACAGGACATTTCCTAAAGGAAGCAGTGATGAAGCTGAGCATCGTAACCCAGGCTCCAGCAACAGATGCTGTTACACTGTGTTGCTACCACAGTGTCCTATTGCTTTAGTTGTCAGGAAGTGACATGCCTGAAAGCCAAAAGCGTTGCTTGTCTGCATTCCCATGTTACTCTTTGGCCTTATAAAGCTTGTTTCACTTCACACACACGTGTAAATCAGGAAAGAAAGGTTGGTGTCACCCACTGCTCATGTGCAGGGCAAACACTGAAACTGCCATCAGTGGCATGTCCTGAAGTGCTTTCTCTTTGCCATCCATATGCATTTCAAGCAGAGTCTGGCAGTTTGCTTCCTCACTGGAGCCCGGCTGCAGCAGCCCCTCAGTGTGTGCTTTCCCAAAGGAATCCAGGCCTGTCTGTGAGCTGTTCTGCCTGGACAGACCCAGGGGGAATCATGGTGGTCAGCAGGGCTCCAGCGGATGGAGGTGCCAGTGGGTGGTTCAGCAGGCAGGAGCAGAATAGAAGCTGTATCAGCGCTAACAAATGTGGTTTCTGTGTTTATCAGGCCTGTCTCTGCTGCCTCCGGGACATGAGCCTTTGATTAGATAAGTTTGAAGTGTTTTTCCATGTCATCAATGAGAAGAGGTGGGAACTTGAAATATTTGAACAAGTTACACTAACAATTGCAGCACTAAAGCTCTCCCAGTGTTACAAGAAATATATTAACTTGGAGGTAAGTTAAAGCCTGGGGTTCTTTTTCAAGCAGAACAGCCTGACACAAATTGTTCTCAGTTCCTGTTCTGTATTTACTGCCTTGAACGTTTTTCCATGGTTGATAGTAGCTTTAGACATCCTTTCACTTCCACAGGACACACAACATAAAAATGTCCATTTTGCGTATCTGAAATGCTGCAGAGACGGACCGGACAGCAAAGAGGGGGGAGGACAAGCTTGATGCCCCTCTTTTAGCCTGCAAAGAGGTAAAGAATGATATGAAACCCCCAAAACGGAAGGACAAAAGGCAACGCTGCCTCAGTACATGACCAAATCACAGGGGCAGAGTGCTGGTGTTTCCTGCAGGAGCAAGTCCCTCTCTCAATGAAAGGGAGACCCATTCATGCACTGTTCTGTTGGCCACTATTAAAACCCAGGATTCTCAACATCCCACCCAGACTACTTGGGAAATCCACAGAGAAGACCTCTTGGATTATAACTACAATCTACCATGTAATGAAGACAATCAGGCTCAGGGAACACCTCCAACTGCTGCTCACTCCACATCTTTAACATCATTTCTTGTTAAGGAGGTATGGAATTACCATTTTATTAGAGCAAAGCTTTCATCCTGAAGTCAGAGGAGGAAGAGCTGTGTCTTTCATCCTTTCTCCCCACCCACTTCCTTTGCTACTGCAAAGGAATAAGTGAACTCTTCGTGATCTTTCAAAGGTTTCATCTCCCAGGCTGCTCAATAGATTACCAGCAGTGTCCTGGCTAACAGATGGCTGGAAGTGACAGCAGTGCTGTAAAGTGTTAAGTAAGTAAATTATTCCCATCTCAGGATTGGTCTCACTCACAGCACTCTGTAGCTTTAAAGCATTTTCCATCCACTCAGATGAATATTTGTGTATCAGTTACGGAACATGAACAAAATCTCTCTGAACCCAAATTTCCAACCTCAAGGCGGCTTGTTATTTTTGGAGTCATCCTCAGGCCCTGGGCAAAGGCTGAAGGGAAATCTTATCCTTTGTAGTTGGGCCAAAAACACTGTAAACTTAAAGATGAACTGTCTTTTGCTGAGCTCAAGATTAGGCAAGGGACCAGCCTCTCCCTAAGCCACTTGCAGCAGCGAAACTACTGAGCGTGGCGATTCCTTGGTAATTGTTTGTGTTTGTGATTTGGACTCCTTGCTCTGGTTTGCTGAAAAAACCCCTTTCATGTGCAACTGTGGAATGTTCTGCGAGGGGAGAGCTGCCAAAACCTGAATCAGGCTTTTCTTCTTCTTCTTTCATTTCTGCCATGCACACACTTCAGATGAGAGGCTACGAGTTAGGAAAACAGAACTTGGAAGTGATGAGGCTTTTTGAGGGCTCAGCATCTTCAAAGAGGGATGCCCAAGGAGGTGGTGACCCCAGACAGACCCCAGTGGGGTGGATGGAAAGGGAAAGCTGCAGAGCTGAGTGCTGCCAGGGGAGCTTATGCTCAAGGTTACACCCTGAGGTTTAGCTAAACTTGGGTATGTAACTGGTGTCACAGCAAAGCACTCAAACTGGGCAGGAAAGGAGGGAATGGGGGAGATCTGTGCACCAGAGGGTCTTTAGAAAGGTCTTTATAGTGTGCTAAATAAGGCTGAGATAGCCCAAGCAGTGACCAAAGTGACACAAATGAAGAATAAAGGGTTTTAGTCTGCATTCAGTCCAGTTTCAGTTCTGGTCCCATGTGGAATGACTGTTAGAGCAGGGCTGCTGTAGCTATACGATGGAAACCATTATTCACCTCGCCATCATTTCTTCATTTGCCCATGGATTTGTTCAGCTGGGAGCTGAGGTCTTCAGAAGCATGACGTGGCTCTGGCCTGCCAGCTTCAATATTACTTATGTGGAAGCAATCTCCTACTAAGCAGCATTTTGCTTCAAGGCACATCTTGCTTCACCAGGTTGGAGATTAATGGATGTCTGGACTACAGCAGAACAAAGCACCCACTTCCAAAAGGATGTTCAGTGTTCACATCCACCCTCTTTTCATGGTCTTTGTCCTGCTCTTTCCCCTTTCCAACTTTACACAGGCATAAATCACACCAGGATTATTGCTTTTTTTCCTCCTTTGTATTTTCCTTCAAAGCTCATAAATGCAGTGGGCAGTGGCTGTTGTACCTCTGGAGGGCTGATGGATCACAAACCCTCCTGCAGGCATTGGGAGAGGCTGGCCAAGGCAGTGGTGGAGTGTTCACACACCGTGTAGATGAGGCCCACAGTGACATGGTTCAGTGGTGGCCTTGGCAGTGCTGGGGTAAGGGCTGGACTTGATGATGCAAAGGTCTTTCCCAACCCAGCTGATCCAGTTCTATATATACCCTACAAACACCACCAGGTTTCATCAACAGGAAAAAAACAGGGATGGGAAAAATAAGTAATTGTTACCGAGCTTTCAAAGAAAACCCCAAGGAATATCATGGCTCACAGCAGCGTGAGCATCACTGTTCTCACTGTAAAGCATGTTACAACATGTAGCCTGTTCCGTAACATATTCCATTTTTTTCCCCTAACCCTTAGATGCATTCCACAGTTCTGGTGCATTCAGGCACCTCTACAGGAGCCAGCAGTGGGGATTTTGCCAGCAACCCCAGTCTCTCAGAATCACTGGTTTGTGTTGGAAGGGACCATCCAGTCCCAACCCCCTGCCACGGGCAGGGACACCTTCCACTAGAGCAGCTTGCTCCAAGCCCCAGAACGTGCACATGGCAACGTGGAGCATGAACAGGGGAATGCAGGGGGAAGTTCCAGTACCCTTCACCAGGGTATGGCCGTTTTTTTCTACTTTGCAATATATAGAAGCCATATAGAAAAGTTGTTTGTACAAAACAGGCCTTCAGAGATCCATAAGAACATGGTCAAAGCAGGAGAATCGCTGGGCAGGGGGTTGGATAAGCTTTAAGGTCCCTTCTAACACAAACCTGTTTGTGATTCTATGATCTGTACAGCCATCCGTTTCTGTATTATTGCATGCATGTATGTATCACACCCTCAAATCTAAAAGGATGCCCCACATACGATCATTGCTCATCAGGCTCATTTAGCTCATCAAAGACACTTGATTCAAACTGGGCTGTGCTGAACCTCGGTCATCGCTGAGAAAAGCCACCGTTGAAGATGGGAATCCCCAGCAGAGCCTCTCCACTGTTAACTGGACCTCTGGTTGACCTCCAGCACAAGAGGAACACTGTCCCACGAGCGGAAGATACTGGTCAGAGCCTCAACAATGTGGGAGGCTTCGCAGCAAGCTTGTGAATCGCTGCTTGTGCTGGTGGAATGGGATGGGATGGATCAGGCACATGGGGCTGGCGAAGAGGCTGCTGCTTGAGAGGAGAGCTTGAGAACAGAAGGGATTTTCCCTGTGGGTGATTTTTGTTTAGTTTTGGTTTATTCTCTGCCAACAAGAGTAGAAATGGAAGTTTCAGCCTATCCCTGTTGTAGCTGTGCCTGTAGAGATGGAGCAACAGCAGAAGTGCATTGGGGTGTACCTCCCAGCAAACCATTTCTGGGAGCCTGGGAATGCTGCAGGTGGGCACTTCAGTTTGCTAGGTGTGCTTCCCAAACGCCTGTCCCAGCGAGGCTGTGATCCCATTCACTTCTATAGGTAACAGTGCTAATTTGAAGTGATTTAATCAGGTGACAGCTTCTGCTGCAGGGTTCATTATATTAACACCATTCATCAGTTTGTGTGCTGGGGCCCTGTCTTGAGTGTCTGTTGTAATTGATGGAAGGCAGAGATGCAGTCCCCACCCTTACATTAATCCTGGGATTTCCGAAGGATTTAACAATAGCTGGAGCAGCCGCTGGAGCCAGGGAGGGATCTCGGTAAATGCTCCCTAGGCCCTGCTGCAGGATGGAAGGTGGGATCGTCTTGGGAAGCTAGCAGGAGAACACCGGGATCACCGTGACACTGGCTGGTGAGCAACGGGAAAAACCGGGAAATCCCGGAATCCAGCGCCTCTTCCCCACCTCGTCGCGGCCGGCAGGGGACGCTCTAGCCCGTATCCTTTGGAATGCTGGCGGTCCCTTTGGGATGTGGGGAGGGACCAGTTGGGGGAATATTGGTCACTTTGGGGAGGAGCAAGTGTGGGGAACCGGAGGGGTGAGGGGATGGAAAGGGACGGCCTCATCTAACGTGGTGTTATGGTGGCTGTGCACGGAGCCAGACAGCGCTGATGGGGACCCTGTGTGTCTGTGGTGGTGAGAACAGAGAGGGTGGGAGTCCCTCACTTCAAGGCCAGGTTGGACACAGGGGCTTGGAGCAAGCTGCTCTAGTGGAAGGTGTCCCTGCCTGTGGCAGGGGTTGGAGCTGGATGAGCTTTAAGGTCCCTTCCAACCCAAACCAGTCTGTGGCTGCGTGTACAGCCGGCCATTCATATGTTTCTATGTGCATATGTGTATCTGGAGACCGATTCCCCCAGCATTTGAAAACACCAAGTGGGGCGCTGCATCCTTGCCTGCCTCTGCATCACAGCACTGCTGCTCAGCCTCGGGGCATGGATGCCTTGCTTAGTGCTGGCTGTCCTGTCCGCAGATGATGCCTGAAAGTGCTTTCAGCCCTGTGAGTTGCAGGCAGAGCTTCACCACACACTGACCTGGACAGTGGAGTGTCCACAGAGGCTGCTTGTGCGGGGAAGGGGCTATAGTTGGGCATGCCGAAGCTCCTCATCCTGTTTGAGGTAGGAAACACCTCCCTGTGTCCCCATTTCAAGGCTTGTAGCCGGTAGGACCCCGCAGTGCCAGCTGAGGCCGCAAGAGACAAGGGAAGGTGATGCAGCAGCGCAGGGAATGGAAGCAGTACACACAGACTGGGTATGCCTGTGTGCAGGTGTTATCCATCAGTCTCACAGGCATCAAACAGAACAGGAGCCACACGGGTTTGTGGAGCTGCCTTATTTTTAACACTCCTTTGCTCACTTCAAATTGCCTTCTTATTGCTCCTTCTTTACCGGATGATTTAGCACAGGGGATCTTCCACTTGCCATGGAAAACTCTATGGAGTTTTTAGGATCTCCTGGGAAATGAAGAGAGGTAACAGCCCTAAGGGTCTTGTCACTGACATAGAAACACAACCCGTACCTTCCTCTAATGCCTTTTCCAGCCTAGTTGGTTCTATGTTTTCCAGCAGCATTGTCCCATTTGTTGTGGCCACCATGGGAGCAGTCCTAGGGAAAGCAGCCTGGGCTTTCAATGGTGCTCTTGGCTCTCCTCTGCCTGTGATAGCTTTGGTGGCACTGATGAAAGCTGCCATCGTGGATGGGCTTTTCATTGACTCACAAATACGGTCCTAGAGTGGAGCGTGCCCTGTGTTAGCTTCTCTCTGAAAAGAGATGGGCTGCAGATAGAGCTGTTCCCAGAAAGCGCAGGTGATCGGAGTACCAGGCACTCACTGCATGGGGCAAAGGGCATCCCTGGTTATTGACTGTTATCACTGATGGGACCTGAGCATCAGCACTTATCTCTCTGCTTTCTTCTTCATACAAGCTGTTTCCATGGCTGGGGTGGAGAGTTAAAGCTGAGCTCATGTACTGTCCTCTTCTTTGCTACCATTTCTACAGGTGCTTTGGGCAACTCGACACTGGTTGTGAGAGCGGCAGAGGCTGAGGTGGGGAGAAGAGCAGCTCGTTTGTCTCTGTGTGAGGAGAAAGGAAAGAGGAGGCAGGGAGGATGGAGAAATCCATGGGAAGAGAGCAGGTGGGAGCAAGGAATGTGATGTGTTCATATCCAGACTTGGCAGCAGCCTTGGCAGCATGCGAGGGTCAGGACAAGTCAGGTTAATGCCATTGAAGGAGGGAATCAGAGCATCCGTGAGCCAGTGAGACAGAAATCACCCCTGTTTTGGGGCTATTATGTACTTCCCCAAACAGAGCTGAAGACACAGGATCCCAGAGGTACAACTTCACCTTCCCCCCTCCTTTGGTTGTATATTGCTGATATCACTCGGTGCAGCTGATAAACCTGTCAGCTCTTCATTGCCCTCATGCTTTTGCAGCACCTGATGAGGGCAGTGGCAGAAATGCAGTCATCCTGAGCCTGTTGAGGTACCCAAATGGATGCGGGACACTGACAAAGTTACTGACACTGTGCTTCAGCGTGGTTCATCATAGCATGGTTAGGGCTGGAAAGGACCTTCAGGTAGTCTGCACACAGTTTGTAGCTCAATGCTGGTCTCCAGGTATAGAACACCAACACAATCAATGTATTTGGTGGAGCAGCTCGGACCAGACCTATACCTGTGACAAGCAGTCACCTTGTTTATGACTTTTAATACAACTTCTGCTCTGTTTTTCCTCTACCCTGCATTTTACTCAGCTGTAGGTTTGCTAATGCCTCCTGGTGCTTTAGGAGTTGCCATGGGATGAAGGTGGGTAGAAGATGGAGCGCTTTGGGCTTGTGGAATAAGCACATTAGCTTAATGCATCTGAAACACACGGCAGCGTTAGCGCTCTTAAGTGTCTGCCTTTAGCTTCCAGAATAACCCCCTGCTGCTTTTATACCTTTTAGAGCACTTTTTGTGAAGATGCACAATGTGAACGTGCTACAAAACTGACACGAGGGTCCACCGGTTCAGGTGAATTTGTCCTTAACACAGAGCAGAGACAAGGACATCCCATGCCCAGTGCTGCTGTCCCCGAGGGATCAGCACTCTCTCCATGTGCTTTCCCTGCCCGTGGCAGGGGGTTGGGACTGGATGAGCTTTAAGGTCCCCTCCAACCCAAACCATTCTGTGGTTCTGTGTTCAGTCTCCCAGCCAGGAAGCTTGGAAACCTGTCTTCAAACACAGGAAAAGAAACAAAGGAAGAAAAGCCCTGAGAGCCTTTGTCAGGGGCACACGGTGTCAAACCTCCCAGCCTCAGAGGTGCTCTATCCTGTGGCACAAAGGGTCTGTACTGCAGAACCAGAGCTGCTTTATCCTGCCTGCCCCACTTGAGATGCTGGCATGGGAAAGCCCGTGCAAGAGGATAGCAGGGGGTAAATCAGAGCATTCATCACACACCCCCACAGCATCGCTCCTGGGTCAGCTTCGCATGCACTGAGAAATGGGTCTTCTCCTGTAGCTCTGCTCTGAGTTGCACTTCCCCTCCCCAGAGTGAAGGAGTTGCATTTATTAGGTCCTTCTTTGCCTTGGAAGGAGGAGGAGGAGGTGATGTTTTTCTTCTCCACTGGGAGCAATGGGAGGAAGCATGGCAAAGCCTTTTCCAAACACTCTGTGGTGTTACCCAAGTGCTGGGCGATTTGTTCTTTGAGTGAAAGTCACACATATTCCTTGTTTTATGTTCTCTAGTCTAAAAAGACTTTCCCTGTTTTCCTCTATCCCATCACTTCCGGAAGCCTCCACTTCCACTGGCCTTGCTTCACAGCCACACTGGACCAACATCGATGAGACTTAACAATGAAACTTCCATAAAGCTTCCTTTTATCATGAGGCTGTAGAAATCAGGATCATTATCTGTCTGAGGAATACATTAATCATAGAATCATGGAACAGTTAGGGTTGGAAAGGACCTTAAGATCATCTGGTTCCAGCCACCCTGCCATGGGCAGGGACACCTCACACTGAATCATCTCACCCAAGGCTCTGTCCAACCTGGCCTTGGACACCGCCAGGGATGGAGCATTCACAGCTCCCCATGGCAAGGGAATGATACAAGGGTAATGATACAACACCCATAATTCCCACTTTTAAACAATGTCCTACAGATACGACAGCATCCCTAACACTGCTGGGTTTTGACAGCATCTGGGATAAGACATTTTTATCATATGAGCATAAGCTTTAATTGCTCCTTTTAAGGCCAGGTTGCACAGGGCTTGGAGCAACTTGCTCTAGGGGAAGGTGTCCCTGCCCATGGCAGGGGTTGGAACTGGATGAGCTTTGAGGTCCCCTCCAACCCAAACCGTTCTGGGATTCTATGATTTATCCATCTCTTATTTAACATCCACTTCTAACGCTCTTCCTCCTGAACTCTAAACATCCCTAATCCCTGTCCTGTACTCTGATCCGCAGTCAATTTAAAAGAGAATCAGAAGCACCGAGAGATACAGATGTAATTATGGCTCAACCCAGTCGGTGAAGGTTTGCTGCAGGCTTAAAGCTGGTGATTGTGACAAGAATCTCACTATCAGGGCCAGGAGTCTTGGTGAAAATCCGACAGTAAACACATTGCATGAGGCAAGCATTGGCATCTGCAAATGGGTGCCATCTGCTGCTGCTTTGAGAGTATGAGACACCTAAGAAAGGGAAAGAGATGCGTGGAATTCGGTCAGATCACAAGACTGTGAGTGAGGTCAGGGGTTTGATTACCAAGTAAAATGGTGTATAGGTTCACCCCACTCACACGGCTTCTGTTTGCAAGTGAAAGGGAGATACTTGCAATAGACACAAAGCCATCGCATCCAGGTTTGGGGAGGTCTGGATGCAGAGGCAGTGATACAGCCCAGCTTCTTTTTAGGGCTAGACCAAAGTCATTTCTAAATGAGGAACCAAGTAACCTCAGAAGCCAATGATTTTGACTCAACCTTTTGCAATTCTACTTCTGCTCCCACCCTGAACCACTCATTACTGGGCAAGGAACAACTCATTGCTTCTATTTTCATGACAGCTTTGCTCCCATAGTTACTAGGAAATCCTGTTCATCTCCTTGGTCAGTAGGTAATGGGTTTGGTGAGCTCACTTCTTACACTTCCCACCTCTGCCACTGCTTCAGGCTCCTCGGTTGCCACAGGAGCTTCAGCACTGCTTGGCTCCCCTGCAGTCCCATCCAGCTCTGGTTTACTGAGCCTTTGGAGCTACCTTCCCCATCTCTGTTCTGATGTGTTACCAACCTGCACCTCCCGTGGTTTATAACTTAAAGGCTGTACTTTAATACTGGAGTATTAAATGGAGTGACACTGGAGTGCTCCTGGTGCAAGGCTGATGGTTTTACGTGGTAGCTCAGAGAGGTCTGCTGAGCTGTGGGCTGTCACTGCAGGACTGTTGCTGGTCCTCAGGCAGACCTGGCTTGTTTACAGTACAGGGCAGTGTGCTGCAGCAGTGACATCCCTCTAACAGCAAGGAAGAAGGGGTGATGGAGTTAACCCAGAGGAACCCAGACTGAGCAGCACATTTACGACTCTCATCATTAAGAGAGGGAAAACCTCATCTGAGCAGCCTGAGTGCCTGCTCTGACCAAAGTACTTGATATATATGGATGAAGGATGTAACACACCTTGACTTCATCAAGAGCTCAGCAGATTACAGTCACAGACGTTATCCTGGGGTAGGGAAGGAAGTTCTTGTTTGTGTCATTTATGTAGCCTTCTAAGTGTTACAGCTTCATGAAGTACATATAGAAAAGTATGGGAATGAATCCATACTATTCTAACATGAATTAGTTATCTTTAACTAGGGAAAACGCCCATCACATTGATAAGAATGATCATTCAATCAGCATAGCCTTCCCTTTTGCTGCAAGGCATTTAGCAATTTACATTCAAAGTGTGACGCTGATGGTTAGGATAGAAGGTAGCTAAAGAAGCCTACATGCTGCTGAAAGTCATGTTTCTTTTCACTGCGGTATTAAAGGATAATGTAAAGTTTAATGTTAAACAGGATTGAGAGCTTTGCTGAAGGGAGAATTACCTTGCCCCCACTGTACACAGTGGCACAAGAAGGAAAATGGGATTGTGAAAGAACAGACTCCATGAGCTCTGATTTTAGACTGCAGGAGTAGACTCAGAACCTCCCATTAAAACAGGAGCAGGGGTTTTTACTTAAGGCCCCATGCAAGCCACACATTGAACGTAGCACTCACGCATTCATTAAGCACAATGAGCAATTGCAGGTTGAAAGCTGCTGGTGTCTCACTTCAACCAGGCAAGTGCTTTCAGGGGAGAAAGGGAATGGATGTTGGTAAGGAGAGGTTTCCAGGCTGCAGGTTGAAATGGAAAGAGGGAGCTCTTTACCCTGTCGACAATCACGGTCCATCTGCAGGTCCCCTGCAGAGCCTCTCCACTTACAGGATGTCACATCTCCTAAAGAAACTGTGCCAATGGCAGCTATTTTGCCCCATTCTTATTTCTCTGAATTAGATGACAGCTGTGGGCAGTACCATGAATGCCTTCAGCTCTGCATTAGCAAACCTCTGTCGCCAGTGGAATTAGTTTGACTCCTGCTGTTGCTATGATTTCTTTGCAGGATAAAGGGTATTCTGCCACCTTGTCTCTGCATGGCTGAAGCAGTTTAGACCTGGATATAGTGACTTGGCCTGAAGACTCACTGGCAAGACCCCCCTCCTGCCTCCCCACTGTGACTTACTGGTCTAGATTTGCCTGTTCCAGATCCCCCAAACAGCTGTGGCTCAGACAGTATCTATCTATCTATCTGTCTGTCTATCTATCTATCTACCTATCTACCTATCTATCTCATCTATCTATCCATCTGTCATCTATCTACCTACCTATCAATCAATTATCTATCTATTATCTATCATCTATCTCTATCTATCTATCTCATCTATCTATCCATCTATCATCTATCTCTATCTATCCATCTATCATCTATCTACCGTCTGTCTATCGTCTATCTTCCATCTATCTATCATCTATCTACCTATCAGTCAATTATCTATCAATTATCTATCTATCTATCTATCTATCTATCTATCTATCTATCTATCATCTCTATCATCTCTATCATCTCTATCTATCTATCCATCCTAAATGGGGACAGGAAAGTCTTTCAGGGGAAAATTTGGTGCCAAGAAACCGTGTTAACACATTGCTAATTTTTCTCAGGTGCTCCCAGCAAGGCCACACTGTGCTTATGTTAAGGTACCACTGCATATAAAACAGCAATGCAAATAATCAGGGCTGCATCAGAGGGATGACTCACAGTTCTGTTTGTCAGCATCGTGACATCCCTGCACGTAACCTGTTACCATCAGCCGCATATCCGAATCTGTGTGTGGCTCAGAGCTGCGGCCACAGACCCTGACCTGTGATACCACCAGGGTGTGTGTAGCTGAAATGGTCACTCACACTGAGAGTGTTGCTGTGTGCCTGAGAACTCATTTACTCCCAAACAAAGCAGTGTCAGAGCCAGAGCTGATCGAACGTGGTGTTGAACCTTTGCCTTTGGATAGTGAAGGGCTGGATTTAACTGTTTACATGAGATCCTTACTTATGCCTGACGTGCTCTTTATCCCGTGACCAGGTGAGTGTTGCTGTTGAGGCTTCTGCCCTGAGCCTGCCAAGCTGCCATCTGCCACACAGTCCAAAACACTAACCTGAATCCAGCTGATGGCCTCATGGATAAGATCCAAAGCTCTTTACAGCTCGCGGTCATTGCTCTGAATACGTGCACGGAGATACTTAGGTGTACTCTGGATGGATATGGATTTCTAGCTCATCAGGACAGCCACAAATATTTGCAAGCACATACTTGGAACACGAAAATACTTATAGATACCTTGAATAAACCCTGGAGCTTGAGGGGGTTGTAAACCCCCTCTGTCTACCTTCCTCAGGCATCAGTGAGAATAGCAATTACTCCATGGAGTAATCCATATGATGGACAAGAGGCAGTTCTTCCATCAGTGCCAATGCTCTGCATGCAAACAGGCCACAGTGTGGCAGTGGATGGAGGTGCCTCCCTCCAAATGGTAGGAGATGCCCACTGTCACTTTGGACTATAAGGAGCTCCATGCTGCCAAAGTTCGTGATGAACCAGCTATTGGAACTTCATACCTTTGTCTGTATCTAGCAGATGATACCACTAATGTATCACCAAATCAAAACCATAGAGCTGTTCCCCTGGCTGCCCTTCATCTATGATGTGTAGGTTGAAGCTGCTCAGGGCAGCTATTGCTTCTCACTGTGAGCATTTTCACAGCTGTGGCTAACAGGGCTCTTGCTCTCACCATGGCCTCTTGCCAAATCTGCGCTGGTGCCAGGCTGTCTGAAGGCAGTTTGGATCTCTCCAGGGCTGTAGCCCATCTCCAAGCGCACCGAAGAAGCCTTTTGCCATAGGATTTCTTGGAAGGCTGTTTTATTACAGCTTATTACACTGCCTTTCTTGACATATTGGTTAACGGCGTTGCCCTCTGCCCCTCTGAGCAGCAGCCCTTGATGCTCTGCTCTCAGGGATCTCTAGTCAGACCTGCTGCTCCGACGTAAGCCGAGTGACTGCTCCTACATGAGGGCTGTTGATCTCCTCTAATTGCCACTGCGTCAGCAGTCACACCAAGCTGAGATGGCCACAAGAGACCCGCAAATTCCCCCCTCACCTGAGCCCTTTGCGGTCATGGTTTGGATTTCCTGACTCTCTAAAGAGCTTTCAGAGGGTAAAAGCAGCATTAGTGCTGTGAGGGCTCCAGACCTCGGGGAAGGCACCGCTTGCCCGTGATCTCTAAGAAGCCAGTTTAGCAAGAGCTGTACTGCTGTTAGACTGCTGTGTCTGCTGGCATTCAGTACCACAGGTTGCCAAGGGGCTCTCTGGTGTGAGATTATGCACTAGAGGAGAGTGAGAAGAGAGAATTCTCCTGGAATAGACATCGCTTCCCAACTCTTCTGGATCGTGCTGGAATGGAGGGACCTGCCTCCAAGATGTGCCTGAGACCTTGCTGTGTCAAAGACTATAAACCCCTTCGATTCATTGAAAACCCACCTGAGCTGCGGCAGTCCCATCTCTCCAGGAGCTGCTCTTGCAGGATGACGAAACAGAGGAGGTCAAACAGTATTAGCATGTGCATCTTGCCCATCATCCCCGAATATCCAGGCTTCCAGGACATTAAGGTTTGTATGCAAAATCTCCCTTTGCAGTATGTGATAGCTACTACCTATTCTTCTATTAGAGTGATAATTCCCCAACTCCTGGTAAGTTGGTGTTTGATAGGATAATAAGTTTTGGGCTGTGTTTTGGGTTATAAAATCTTGACATGACGCACTTTTATTCTTCTACACTAAGATGATTGCTAAGTTTTCAGTTATTTTTATATATACTAATGTATATTTTAATATATATTTTAAGTTATAGAGACAAGACTGTTGATTTTTAAACCGTTTAAAAACATCTGAGGTAGGAAGGAGAGACTACCTCTCAGCCAAGTTTTAGTGTTCTTCAGTTGCCTACCTTATTCCAACCACTCTAGGCAGGGATATTAGATTTGCTGGGTCCCTTCCAGAATGAAGTGTGATGGAATAGTGAGAGATCAAAACTTGATTACTTTTCAGTTTACATGCCATGTCCAACCCCCCTTTTCTCCTTTGGGCTCAATGTTTTTCATTCATCACTAGGAGGCACCATGCCAAATGCTGATGATGGAGTGCCCTACCGAGACATTGCTGGGCTCTCAAACCAGATTTGTGCCTGGACCCTTTGCAAGTATCTAGGCTTCATTAGTAATTGTCAAAAACTGCATGAATGATGGCTCTTTATTATACCAGAGGCATTGACAGGCATAATAAATGATTGCAAAATGTTCCATGGTCCCGCTGTGGCTGTCATCTACATACAGTGGAGTCTTTCTCTTTATTGATTTGAAACAGCAAATAATATAAAGCAGTTCTTCACTCAGGCTGAAGTGCCAAGGTTTTTCAGAGAACAAGCCATGGTGCAGTGTAAGTTGGTGTACAGAAACCAGTGCAGTACCTGGGAGAAGGAGGAAATGGTCAAGCAGTAACTTTGAAAGCCCAGGGGAGACTCAACTGTGGACATAGAAAGGCAGCCTTTTACGCAATGCATTTCTAGCAGTGTTTTCTCTGCAGTCAATGAAAGGACTCAAAGCATGGATGTTCCCTTGAAATCAATCTAAAGAGCCCCACCATGGTGTCAGTGGGGGCTGGATCAGGCCTTTTTTTGACTATTTAAGCAGCTTAAGTATTAATTTGGTGAGCTAGAAAGGAGATAGGCACCATACAGTGGGAAGGAGGAGAAAACTCTATGCACACTATGCTATGCTGTGGGATATAAGGAAGAAGCTCTTCCCTGTGAGGGTGCTGAGGCGCTGGCACAGGGTGCCCAGAGAAGCTGTGGCTGCCCCATCCCTGGCAGTGTTCAAGGCCAGGTTGGACACAGGGGCTTGGAGCAAGCTGCTCCAGTGGAAGCGGTCCCTGCCTGTGGCAGGGGTTGGAGCTGGATGAGCTTTAAGGTCCCTTCCAACACAAACCAGTCTGGGATTCTATGATTCTCTGGGGATAATAATGATCAATGTCACAGTTTTAAGACGTAGAAATATATTTTATGTGAACATTGAGGTTCTTATAACAATACAGCTCCAGGGTAATGAGATTTGGAAAGGATAAACCTGAAGCTCTGTTCATACAGGCAGGTGAGAGATTCTTCCAGAAAAGCAGGTTCTCGGAGAGGCCACACAAAACTGTTGCAGCCCATCAGAGCCAGTGGGAGGTAAAAACGCCCAGCATTGTTTAAGCTCAGCCCAGGAGACTTCTCTTCTGGAAAGGGATTGGTACCAAGATGCTGGATCCCCATGGAATTTGGATTAGAACCCCCAAACCTTCCCTAACAGCCTTTTGCTGTATGGGATCCTGAATTTAAGATGCTTTTGCTGCTTATGACGGCACATTGTGATTTAGGTTTCCTTCTACCTCTAACCCTGCTTCTCCCTCCCCACCTATTTTAAACAGTTACCAAGAAATTACTCGGAAACTCCAGCCTTCAACCGGCTTTTCCAGGGCCTGAAAAGAGGAAAGAGCTCCTCATCTCAGCTCCATAATATTCCAAACAGAGCTCTCTTAGTCCATTGCATGGGGAGCTCTTCAAGAGGCGGCTTGAAGGGCCACCTCGCAACCAGCAGCGGCTTCCACGACAAACCACTGCAAGAGTACTTCAATGAGAGGCTGATGGAGCTCAGGAACTACGAAAGCAAGAGGTTGAGCAGGAAGGCAAAAGTGTTTTCTGGTGAGGACCAGAACCCCTTCCTCACCCACGGAGGATGCCGAAGCAGAAGCAGTTGCAGTGCTGTGGTAATGACGGGGCATGGGAAGCAGAGCGACGAGTCCTGCAGCTCAGCAGATCAAGACAGCCAAACTGTGATTGAGTGTAACGGTCAAGAGGAAAGCCTGGATGCCCTGGACCTCTACAGGGGTGACTTCCTGGACAATCTGACAATGCACATCACTGCTCCCCTAGAAGCATTTGTGCAAAAGCAGTGATACTGGAGCTGGTTACAGCTTATTGTGCAGTGCTGAAAGCCAGGAAGAGCTGTTCCTGCTCAGCACCACTCTGACTGAAGTAGTTCATGTGTGTCAGCCCACTTTGGCACAGAAATGTGCTTGCTTGTGGGTGAAAATGTTCTCTCATCTTGTGTTCCTGGTTGGCATTGCATGTATTTGTTTCCAGTTATTTTCTGCAAAGAATCAGTATAATTGAGACATAGTTGAGACTTACTATGTAGAGAGCAGTGTTCTAAACACATGCACATATTAGTTGAATCCATAGAACCCCAGACTGGTTTGGGTTGGAAGGGACCTTAAAGCTCACCCAGTTTCAACCCCTGCCATGGACAAGGACACCTTCCACTAGAGCAGCTTGCTCCAAGCCCCATCCAACCTGGCCTTGAACACTTAAGTGTTCAAGAATTCTTAAGTTGCCTTAAGAAAAAGGTGATCAATGTCAGAGGAGCAGCTTGAGCTCCTGCTTTGCAATTTCTATTGGTTCATCTGAACAAAGACTCTTGTGCTCTGCCCTGTTATTTTGCTTGTTTTAAGCTTCTTGGTTTTATCATGTCACTTTGGACCGACTCATTTATGGTGATGATTTGCACAGATGCAAATCATTGATGAGAAATGATTGATTTTCAATCATTGCCATGTGTAGTCACCAGGTGGATCATTTGAAGTATCTGATGCATGAAGAAGCGAACACAGACATTCAGTTTTATTTTTCAATATGAATGGCCGTTCTGGTTTCATTTGCAGATTTGGAAACCTTTGACTTAAACACCACTATGAAGGCAAGAGTTAAAAATGCCATATTTAAGTGAGAATGATGGAATTACAGAGGAAAGAAGGCTCCTTCCCTCTTTCCTAGTGTAAATATGAGAACAACATAGCAAATGCCTCATGTAATCTAACTCAATCAGCGTTTATCATGGTCATCTAAGTATATCAGCTGCAGCTGAATCTTTTTATTATGTGAAATGTCAATGTTTAATTCCACAGTACACCGACTCTTAGACCCAAAGCAGGGCAATTTTAAGCTTCCAGAAAGAGCTACTACTGCCTGTGGTATCATCAGCAATAAATTCTTCATTAGTGTTGGCTTGAATTGATGTTCTCTCTGTGCTTTCAGACTGGTTTTAATGGGAGTTAACAAGTAAGCCATCCTCCTGGCTAGACCTCATCCTTTCCAGTGCTGACTCTCTCCATCAGTTTTACCTCCTCGCTCTTCCCATTTCCTGAGCCCGGGTGGAACTTGCCCAAGGTGTGTCTTGTCCCTTCTGCAGCTCCTACTTTATCTCTTCCCAATACTTACCTGTTTGCAGAAATATTTCCTCTAGTGCTCCCGGGCCTTGTAGTTCTCTCTTTCAGAGTGCGTGTGTGAACATATGAGGAGAGGAAAGGGCAGATTGAGGAACTTCTCACATCCCTCCTACCAGTCCCCTGAGGAAACAAACCAGTGTTTCCTCCCAAAAAGGGGAGGAAAACAGGCAAGATTCATTCCACATCCCTTCCCCAATCCCGGGATCAATAGGATCTAATGGAACCAAGATGGGATACTGAGAGCTCTGAGTCCTTTGTGTATGGGAGAAAGCATTATATGCTGAGGCTAAGTGACTTTTCCAGAACTCACAACTGCCAATGGAGGGAGCAGCCAATTGGGTGAGATTTTTCCCCGAAGGGAAATATGTTTTTAGATTCAAATGGAAGTCTGAAACACACCATGTATTAGCAGATGCCATAGAAGGGGATCCATCTGGATTTCATTGTCAATCTGCCAGAGGTTACTTTCTCCTCTAGGAGTAAATTCATAACGTAGTATTATGTGAGGGCATAATAATAACAGTGCAAGGGAACAATATTAATGGAACACAGGCAACCTTCATTCTTTCTTTTCTTATGCATGTGGCTTTGTGCCCTTCAATGTGTGCTTTTGAAGTTTAGGTTTGCAAGTGCCTTCCTACCTACAAGCTCTGTACAAAAGGTAAATGCCTGTCTTTTTGCTCTTGAGGTTTTAATCATTATCACACTGCAGTGACCCCACATCAGCAGGTCTGGAGCATCCTAAGCCTCTCTGCAGACCTCTGCTGTATAAGCTAACAGAGGTACATGGACCATTGCTCTGTTATGGTGCTAGCAAGGTTTGATTACAGCAGAGGAGCCAACTTCCTTGGATTAAGAAACAATTTAATATTGGTAAGTTGTAAGTAAAAAAAACCCAGAAAATCACGTAAAATTTACCCAATGGGCTAAATGGTCAAATGGGCAATGCAAGCTACTCAGTGTCCATGGCAGAGTTACTTTCTCCATCCCAGACAAGTCAGAGCAATGATTTTTATAAGCCCTATTTTACCTTTTCCTTTTCCTGTACACCAAACATGAAACAGAATCACAGAACACAACAGATTACACTCTGACTTGGCAGAAACTTGCATTGTCTCCTCCCCCAGAAGCACCCCATAGACCTGCAATTGCACAGCCAGCCCCATTTATGGCGTTTTTCATCTGCAAAGCACCCTCAGGGATTAAAAACGTTTAAGTGTGTTGTTATGAATTGGATTTCCTTCAAGACAGTGCAATGACTTTCCTGGGAGAAGCTGCACATCTCGTGCCAGAGATAGTGGGAAAGTCGAAGGAAGATTACATCTCCCAAGAGGGAACGTATCTAGATGTTGCTGCACAGAAAGGACATAGAGTTACAAAACCACCAAGAGCTGGTAGAGAAGGAATAAAATCTCATCTCGCATCCTCTCAGATTGTTAACATATCATGAAAAACGGCTTGGCTTTGCTTGGAAAGTGATGATGCCCATTGACCTGCACTTCTGTAGTCTATTACCTTAGGTTTTACTGAGTTCAGCTGTTGGATGTAGCTGCTGCTTTCATGCTGATGATCTGTTTTCACAATGTTCTTTCATGAAACTTGACGCAAACACTGTTTGCCATTAGCAAGCTCATAAAAATACACTTTATGCCTCTCTGAAAAAGTATTCTTTCTCCTCTTAAAGAAGCAGCACTGCACCACTTCCCCTCTGGTGGTTTTGCAGCTACTCTTTATCTGTGTTTTAGCTCTTTCTGTATGGAATACTCGAGCACACTCGGTTGCTGTTGTTGTTTCCTTCTCTAAATACTTTCCCTCTGCCTAATTGGAGCTTCAGCCAAGTACTCTCTAGGGCCTCATAAATCAGACTTAACAAACAGTTCATGTCTTCTGAAGCCTGTGTCCCTGCTAGTGATTTCATCATCCTTTCCTCAGACTTACTTTTCAGGTCATAAATGTTGTGTTGGCTGACAGTGTGCAGTGCAGAGGAAGGCTGGGGATGTGAGGATGGGAGGCATCTCAGAGGGAAACACAACCTGCTTTCAGACGAGAACCTGAACCTCCACAAAGTGAGATACAACCTCAGCCTGGTTTTCAGTTCCCTCAATCTCTGAAGATGTGATGGCACAGAACATACAAACAACTATCATATTAAAAGGCATCTAGCAAGATACGGGCAGCATCCCACCTCACTGTAATCATCTCCAGGATCACAAGGACTTGAGGAAGCTCTGTTTGGTTACATGCAACATTAAAGCAAAATGTATAGTTTTCATGTATTTAAATTAAGTAATTTATTAAAAAAAAAGCCAAAAAAAAACAATCAAAACAGTGGTTTGATCTAGATACAGCAGCACTGTGACATTACTAGGACATTATGTACGAAGAATCCAAGCAGCCAAAGAACACAGAAGCCTTTATCTTCAGTAACAATCTCAAAATGAAACTAGCTTCATCAAACAATGTTAAAGATCTCCCTGGAAAGAGAAACAAAACCAAACAGACCCTCCCCACCCCAAACCCGTTGGATACTAGGATGATTTGGTTTTTGTACAATACCAACAGCCACTAGCTCTTCTAATTGAGAACACTTGCTTTGATTTATTACAAAAATGATCTGTTGACTCAGTTATGAAAGACGACTTTTAAACATTGCTTCTGAAGTGTCTGCTCCTCTTATAGACTACAGTATTAGAAGTGCTTAAAAACACTGACTCCCGGATATGCTCTTGAAATTCAATCAGAAGGATATTCTGTGTGTGTTTATATACCAAATATGATTTTTCCTTTTTAAAGCAGGTGAAAAGACTAACCCTAACATGAAACCGCAGGTTTACAATTCAATTATTAGTCAGATATGGGCAACCACATGATAGTTCATGAAATCTTTAGGTCTATCTACATTTGCTCAGAAACACAAAATAAAGTTTTTACAGCTTTCACCTTCAAAAGGCTAAAATGTTCAGTCTTTTAGAAGAGTGTCCAGTGTTTAAAAGAGATGCAATTGAGAGAGACCGCATTTGATACACATGAAACATAACTTGTTTGAGCTTGCTATTAAACAGATCTAATGGCCGCGTGTGGGGTGATGAGAAAGGAAAACACATTTGTCATCCAGCCACTACCTGAAATGTTTCTTCTCTGGGAGTGAATGAATTCTTCAGCAAGCCTGGAGTTTCCCTTTGGAGCCCGTTGATTCCAGGCATGTGGTTGCCTCTTTTGTTTCCATAGCTGGGCAGTGAGTTGACCCAAGGTTTGCCACGGATGCATCTTTGTGACTTCGCACAGCGTTTCACTTAGTGAGTACCTAGGGATGTGTTTGCAGGCCTGGCCAAAACCAGTGTTATTGTGTTTCCTTCCTCCTAACTGCTGATTTCCAATGTAACAAAAGAGGAGGTGCTGTGTGAATGCCACGATTGCTAGCTAGCTCTTAAGTTAGAAATGGATACTTTAACATTTGCACTGTCACCTCATCTTCTGTTGGAGATGTCATACAGAAGGCAGTGCATTCTGTTTCAGTATCTATCTCTAAGGAATTAATACAAACCAATAATAAAAGAAGAGCCTGAATTTACAAGTAATCTCCCTACTCATGTAAATAAGAGCAGCTATATTAAGCCTATTTCAGTCAAATAATAATAGAAAGAGTTGATATTGATTTGTTTTATGCACAGACTCCAAAGTGCTTTCTATTGATGGACAGAGAGCATCCCTTTGTGTTTAAGAATGGGAAAACAAAATTGCACAGAGGTTTGCCCAAAGCAGTGAAGAAAAACATGGGCAGAATAGGAATACAAACCACCACTTCTGGCTCCAGTACATAAACCAAGGAGAATACATATGTGCCAGCAGTAATACTCATTTTAGTGAATAGGCAGCAATCTGTTTCAAACTGTTTCTTTCATAAAGCCCATTTGTCAGTACACTGGCTTAGCTGATCCAACTGCAGCAGCTTG